TTGGGCTAATACAAATCTTATTGTCAAAAGAAGAGTTTAAAGAATCGATATAAATTTTGAGCAAGCTCATTTGAAGTCAGTTAATTGAGTATTTATTCAAAAAAGAGAGCACGCTTGCTTAACAGCACACTAATAGGGACAGTTACCCTAGTATCCGTATCGTGAAATTCCAGCAGAAGATAAGAAATAAATTCATCCCACTTTATCTTGCCGTCAACCTTTATATCTATCTGGAATTGTTTATATATAAGACTTACACATAAGAGTCGACAAACACAAATTGAGATTAACTGACTTTTTTGAAGAGAGTCTGAAACTCGTCCTGTGGCATTGTTATCTCGAGGACGTCTTGGAAAGAATCTTGCAGCTGAGAAGAATCCATTTCTTCATTTTCCGCTGCCTGAAGACATCTAATGTGTATATTGTGTTTGTGTGTAAAATAAAAGTAGTCGAGAGGAAAATATGTGCAACACATGTACCAAGAAGGCATTGTGCAAACGCATCAAAGACTGCTCGGTGCATTGCTTCCCGATCTTTTTCGTTTCGAAAAACCGTTCGAATGCTTCTTTTATACTAAAATAAAAATATTTAATTACAAATTTATAATTATGCGATTGTGTGTGTGTATTAATTTTCCGAACTAACCTCAGATGTGTTTTGCCAACAAATTCCATTGCAACAATTTTTTTAAATTTATTATTCTAACTCTAGAAGACCATAATCGTATCAAAAGTACATTTGCTAATTTTATAATTTATTTACGTTTGCATAAAAAAACTATATCGAGTAAAAAATTATATCGAGTATTTATCTTTTTACATAATCAAGAACAAATAGCAATCATATGTATACTGTTGTATCAATCGATTGCTTACCTATTTCCATGTTAAGTTGTGGGAAGAAGAAATAACGAGGAAGGAGAAATAATCAATAACTCCGTGTATATATGAGGTAGGTAGCACCGAGCGTAACTGCTGTAACGTCGGATCAATGCGACGAAAACAACATATTTCGTTCTGAAAGAAATTTATAAAACTCCATGGAATTGTTCACAGCTTTGAGCTTGTTCCGTCGACAGAAATACGAAGAGTGCGCTTCAATATGCACGGACTTGTTGAAAAAAAATCCTCTGGATCAGGTACATGTTGTTCCTCATCGTTTCTTTATGGATAAATGTATTTGCGAAATGTAATTGAGAGACATGTGACTTTCACGTTAGGCCGTGTGGGTCTTAAAAATGCGCGCCTTGACGTTGCAAGTCTACGTGGACGACATCGAAGGCGAAGAAGAGGGTATCGCGGAGAGTCTATTAGATAATTATGCAATATCGATGATGCCCAGACCGGGAACTTCTTTGAAAAATCCAGGCACCAGTTATACCAGTCAGGGAGTGCGGCCCAAGTCTCAATCTGGTTTGTCGCAGCTCGTCTAAAAATTCCAATTCCACAACTTTCGTTTTGAACATTCGAAACAAGATCTAATAGTGGATATTTTCTAAAGGTAGACCAGTTACCGGGGTTGTGCGACCCGCCACTCAGGCAGCAATGTCCCAGTCCATCGAGCAAGCGTTGAGAACACCGAGAACAGCGATGACTGCCAGGCCGATCACAGCGATCTCAGGACGCAATGTTAGGTAGAATGTCTCTACAGGTGTATTTACAATTTAACAAGATTAATAAGATTCTTATCCTCAAAGGCTTGGTACAGCTTCGATGTTGACGGAACCTGGCGGACCGTTTATCCAGTTGTCGCGCTTAAATATAACCAAGTACGCCAATCAACAAAGTATAGCAAAACCATTATTCGAATACATATACTATCACGAAAATGACGCGAGATACGTGAGTCATTGATCTTGCAAAAATCATTGAGATATTACTGCAATTGATACGTTTTAATATAAAATATACATTACAGGCGTTGGATTTGGCTGTACAGGCGACGCAGGTTTGTCAATTCAAAGACTGGTGGTGGAAGGTCCAGTTGGGTAAGTGTTACTACACCTTGGGATTGGTGAGAGATGCGGAGCAACAGTTCAAGTCGGCGTTGAAGGATCACAAATGCATCGAGACGGTGTTGCGGCTGATCAGGGTCTACATCAGGCTCGATCAGCCGTTGGCCGCGTTGGACACGTGCAAGAGAGGTCTTGAATACTTCGTGAACGATATCGCGATTCTCACAGAGATGGGCCGTATATTCGAAGGTCTGAACAATACGGCGATGTCTATGAAGTATTACAGAATGATCGCACAGGAAGACGCTTCCCACACGGAAGCGATTGCCAGTATAGGCATGCATCACTTTTACAACGATCAACCAGAGCTAGCTTTGCGTTATTATAGGTACATGCGTTAAATATAAAATGACAAGGTCCAGTATTTGGTTAAACTGTTTCACTTTTCTGTTTTGTTTGTTTGCAATATTTATGTTATATATCTTGACTCACAACTTTACGACTTGACCCATTGTACATAAGCGCTCCACGATTTTGCACAAATTATATGTAAAAACAAAAATTGGTAATGTACGCGTTTCAGACGTCTATTGCAAATGGGTGTGCACAACGCCGAGCTGTTCAATAATCTTGGACTCTGTTGCTTCTACGCTCAGCAATACGACCACACCATCTCGTGCTTCGAGAGAGCATTGAGTCTCGCGAATGACGAAAACGTAGCCGACGTGTGGTATAACATTTCTCACATCGCCGTCGTATGTACAATTTTTATTTCAAAAAAGCGTAATAAAATATAAAATTACACACAAGACGAATGCGTATTGCAGACACTGGGTGATATGATAATGGCCGAAGAATGTTTGAGACTGGCCATCGCGAATGACAACAGACACGCTTTGGCCTACAATAATCTCGGCGTGATAGAGATGCGGAACGGAAATGTCACCGCGGCGAGAACTTATTTCCACGCAGCGGCCAATATCGCTAGCTACGTGTACGAGGCGCACTTTAACAGCGCGCATTTAGCTTACCAAGTAATTAATATCTGATTTTTATTTTGATTATGCATATTCTGCGCAATGTTAAAGTGTTCTTCGATATTTATACAGGTTGGAGACCTACAAACGAGTTATATCGCAGTACAAAAAGCGTTGAACGCGTATCCTGGACATTACGATAGTAAAACCCTTTTGCAAAAACTGCAAAGATACTTCTCACATATGTGACGAGATAAACAAAGAGACTCTTTCCTCTTTTTCTACACTGCATTATTTTATTTATAATCTGTAAAACACATATATCGTTTAAACATAATTCTATATACATAATATACAAAAAAGTACAAATTATGTTTAAAATTTTTGCACACATTATTTGAAATACCTTACAACTGCAGAATTAAAATTGAAATCTTGTGTACAAAGGGAAATAATCATAAAAATTCTTTTGGAAGTACAAGTGTTCAATAATAATAATATACTCAATGATACGACTAATTGTCATTTGTGTTCTTTTCTTATCAAGTTTGTACAAATATATACTAATCTGTAATGTTTTTATTCATCGAGAAAAAGTGTGTATACAATAGTTTCTCGCTAACTACCCGCATTTTTTTCTCGGTATCTGTCCGGGAATCATTCTCACCAATTCCTGGAAGTGCCTCGCCGAGCCAATCAGAGATAACAGCCGGCAATTCTCGGAAATTTCTCATATATATCTTCCTCGACATCGCTTGCGAAACCGAGGAGCGGACAGTTAGCGAGAAACTACTGTACTTTTGTACCGATAATAAATTCAGCTCAATCAGTGTGCAATCAGTATTTTCATAGGATAATATATATAAAGGATGTTCCATCTAACTTGAGCATCCTAAATATCTCGCTTATTTTTTATGATAGGAGGATGCCGAAAAGGGTCATTATTCAGTTCGAGGAGACAAATACTGTAATAAACAAGAAATTTTTCTCAAGGTCATATTTTATAGGATTTCAAAGTCATTGACATTTTTTTAATCTGAAAGTACATATTTTTATCTTCGCGATATGATAGACAAGGTCAAGACGAATCCAAAAAGTTCTTATTTATTACAGTATTTGTCTCCTCGAACTGAATAATAACCCTTTTTGGCAACCTCCTATCATAAAAAATAAGCGAGATATTTAGAATGCTCAAGTTAGGTGGGACACCTTGTACATATATATATATATATACACACATATAATCCCATGTAATTACTAATCTTATAATTGACATATTGAACAATAGTCTAAAGAGATAATAAATACTTGGTTATTATATAATATACACGTACATACATACGTACATATATATATATATATATATATATATCTGGTATATATGTATATACGCATGTATGTATTATTATTCAGAAAAGCACGGTATTGGAATATATATCCAAATATGAGCTTGGAAAATATCATGTGAGATACTTGCTTCTCTTCCTTTCTTCTTTGGAATTCGTGCAGAAAGGCCAGAGCAATGTACAGTCTTGTGACGGATTAATTGTTAGTGTGGGACATAACTAACCACGATATGACAAAGTAAAAGAGAAAAATCGGATATACCGCTAATGCTTTTCTCCCTGCAGGTTGACTGTTTCCAAGGAATGCCATAGATGCTACAAATGAAGAATAGAATTTATAAATACAGTTTTAACAATATTCAACAATTTTCTGGTATAACTTCCAAAGAGATATCATTGATGTTATATTCACCATATGTTGCCCAAAAGAATCCAATAGTAGAGATTACGCTTCTGAGAATAGTCAACAAATTGGTTTGATTAGCTATTAAAATGATTCTGCATATAATTAGTGCAATGGCATTTGGCAATAGGCAATATCCAAGTACACAAACACTTTGGAAGAAAGATCTGCAAAAAAAAAGCAAATTAAAATTGTTTTGTGCAACTATAATACTAATTTTATACATATTTTGATAAATTATAAAATAATCATATTCCAACTAAAAACAACTTTGATACAATTTTCCTTACATATTTCCACCTAATAATTTTGAATTCAACGTAACAATCATAGATCCAATCCATACAATGACAAATACTTCTGCAAATTCAGGACCTCCATCATTTGAATTGTCTGCCGTGTCAGAACCTTGTAATATCCTAAAGAATATATTTACAATTTAAATAACATATTAGTTTTGTCTAAGTTTTGCACATATTGTATATAAAAAAACATTTGTAAAAATGTCTTACATTGCCATAAATGTACACAATATTAATGGTCCCCATAGATCCCCTGAAATAAACAATTTACATTACACAATATGTTTAACCTCTACTTTTTAATGATAAAACTTACAATCTTTGAGTAGACTTTTCTTCTCTTTAGGATACAAAACATGGAAAAATTTCTTGCCTACTGCTCGAACATCCCTCAACTACATCAAATAAAAACAATAAATGTCAAGACCAATATATTGCTACTTTTTGAAATAAATAAATTAGTCAAAAATGTACGCTCACAATTGTGTCTTTGATGGGTTCATCTAATGTATTGAATTCAGGTTCTCCCAAGACTGATTTCTGTCTCGTGCCTACTGTCATCTCACCCTCAACTTGTTGAGGATCCACATTGTACGTGGCGTCATCGTACATCTGTTAAAACGTAAACACATCGAACATTGAACTGACACATTTGTACAAAAATATCTATATAAATTCTCTATCCCACGAATAATTCATCGCAACACAAGAATTCGAAAACAAGCAACGAAAAGTGATCACGTGCAATAAATCGCAACAGATGATACTTGCGTCGAGCTTTGCCTCGCCAGTCACCGTCGCCATGTTAATCGTCAATGTGGATTCGAATTATCGCAAGGAACTACGAAGTGTAGCGTCGACGATCTCGAAAACGACGCACCGCAAGCATATCAGGAAAAGAATCGTCACGTGTATCGTCCGCGACACGTTCACTCGGAAAGAAATAGACACACGCGTGTTGTTCCACTCTTGGCTAATTTGCTGTTACCGCGAACAACACAAAATTATCGAGAAACGTTGCGTCAAACCGATCGAATCTCGATCGTCCGGCCGCCAATTGGTCCGTTTAACAAATCAAGATATGAACCGCTAATCAAGATATGACCCTCTCGATGATTCGGCGTGCTACGAATGACATTCGGATGATTTCTCGGTATCGATAGGTGGCGCCAGTGTTGTCAGTGGCAGAGCCGCGGCGGAGATTGAGGCTGCGTTCGAATAGCACTACCAATTGAATCGCAACGACAATTCTTCCCGACAAGATCGTCGTGAAGCAGAAATCATCAACAACATCCTCGAACACCTGTCTACGAGAATTTCCTCACGATGTTCTGCGCAAAGACGCGCCGGCCGCTGCGTGCCTTGGTTTATGTTACTGCGATCGTGTTGATGTTGACATTTGTCGCGCACGCGCAGCAGAAAGCCGACGAGCCAGTAGCCGGCGATCCGCAAAAGAGCGGCGAATCCAAATGGAAACTCGACGAAGAACTATGTAACTACATCCAGCAAACTTGATATTCCTTTCGCTTTTACGTCCAATTAGCGTTTTCTCTTTTTTCTTTCTTGCGATAAAACTTGATTTATCGATCAGTCTATTGAAATTTATGTATTTTGAAAGATACTTATATATGCCGTAACTATATTCCTGTGGTAGTCAAGAAACTGTTTGCTCAGAAGCGCAAGAATCACGAAGAAGCTATACAAACTCTTCTAAAGGTGGACAAATACGAGCGTCTGTATAAAATGGTTACCGTATTGACCGAAGCGATAGTCGAAGTGATCGAGTCGAGCAGGAACGTAATTGAAAACGCCAGCTTTGTTCCGGGCAAGACTTCTTTTCCGGAAGATACTACCGTTAGAGATGGTAATAAACATATTTACTAGTTATTTTTATTTATTTATTAATATATATTTTTACCAAATTTCTCCGTATCAATTGTTTTTTTTATTTGTTGCAGCATTATCTAGCATTCTAGAGAACACCGCACTCTTCGGAGATATTATTTTGTATCTGCCGGACATCATGCACAGGGTGCTGAAGACGCAGCAGAAATGGTACACCACGATACACTGGTCTCTGAATTTCGCCAATCAGACACGCCACTTACTGAACAAATCGACCATCACGATGATACGCTTGGTCGAGCAAGAGCTGAACATCACAGAGCGGGATCCCAATTATTTTAATCCCTACAGGAGCGCTCCCCATTCTAGCAAGCGCGAGGATACCGTGAAGAAAAAGTCTACGAGGAAGGAGAAGCGCAAAAAAGGACCACATATTGCTAAAATCGAGTTGTGAACGTCGGTCTCTTCGCGCCACGAGAGTCTTCTAACCGGTTCCTAAATCGCCTCGTCGAGAGGCGGGTCCTCTGCAACGTGTTGTTAGAATTCTAGGGAAGCTAAGTTGTCGACGGCCTGTACTCTCTCGCCTGCGCAAGAAATTTTGTCTCACGAGAGATTAATACATAGAATCTATTTTGTTGTACATACAAATAATCTATCAAAATATTTAAGATTATGCATACGTTTAACTGTTGGGTAAAACGTTGTTGCATTATGCGAAAAGAGATTGCTGTTATACATATCAAATTTCGAGCGAATCTTTCTTCAATGCGAAAACAAAAATCATGTATGTCTGTGTTCGAATGCGTATCTGGTTTATGTGGAAACGATTATCACATCAAAAACCCGATGGTCTCTCTCTCCGACGGCTCCAATTTCCCAAATCGTTCGTCGATTTCGCAATAATTTACTGGCGGCAAGAGATCGCCGCGAGGTAACCGCCGTCCTGTCCTTGTTTAAAAGCGAAACGAACGGAGAACGCCCGAAGGCGGCTTTGCTTTTGCGAGCGAGCCGTGAATCTCACGTCATCGATATGAGAGACGGCTTTTCTCGTCGTTTTACTCCGGCGACGAGTCGCACCGCGACGGTAGAAAGTGGTCAGCCAATGAGCTGAGAACGGTTCTTCACCGGCCAGTTCCCGCGAAGTGCCGCGCCGGCGGCGGCGGTCTACCCCCGGCAGTGTCGCGGCAGCGGATCAGTCTGTTGGGTCGATCGGTCGGTCGGCTGATAATACATCGTGGTCACGGTAATCGCACGAACTCCGAACGAGGCGCCGAGAACACGCGAACGGAACCGGAACACGCCGTTGTCACTCCCCAGAGATTATACCGAGAACACGCGAGCTGCCGAACGATGAGACTCCAGGAAACGGCGCTCCTCTGCGCCGTCTTGACCGTCGCAGGTAGGCGCGCCCTCGTTGTTCCCTACGTCGATCACCTTTCTCTCCGTCAGTGTGCTCCCGGTCCAGTGAGGTCGGATTGCGCGTGTCTCTCCGCGTGGGAGAGCCGGAAAATGGGAGAGATCGCTTAAATTCTCACTGGACCGCGGCGCGACATTTCGTGCCATTTATTGTCTAACGTAACGGCGGTTTCCTAGAAATTGCGAAAGATCCAAGATCAAAGATCTCGTCACTCTCAATAATCCACCAGCCGATTCTTTTTCCATTCGTATACGTGGCGTACCTTTCGGATTGGGCATCGGCAGTTTATTTTCACCGATTACTTGATTCGATAACAGTCGCTTTCCAAAACTTGCGCAAATCCGTTCATTTCTAACGTTGAATTTCCACATTTTCACAGATAATAAAATGTAATTGCGTCGATTCAATGTTGGTTGGTTTCGATTGGTTTTTTTTTTTTTTTTTTTTTTTTTTTTTTATTGCTGTTCGGAAATACACCTGACCAGTTTCTAGCAGAATGCCGCCACTGATTTTGTACTTTATTTTTTCCTTCTTTTTTTATTCTACGTCTATTCCTCTCGAGAAGCATTTTCTGTTTGTGCGTTTTTTTCTTTGTTTCTTGCTCTTCTACATACATTTGATATTCTCATCCAAATGATATTAAAAATCCAAAACTGTGCAATATAAATAATTACACATTATTTTATTATCGATTAAAGCTCATATCTTTGTACTTAATATTTAATAATTGCAACAAACAAACAGAAACAAACTCGCTCAGATTGTTCACGATAACTGTTTATATAATTTTGAAGAATAAAAAAAAAACTTAAAAGTGGCTTGTTTGATTAATTGATCCACATATATTACTCGGATGCATAAATCTTTGCTTTGAAATAAAAATATTTGTTGATGACGATTAAACAAAACGAAAATATTGTTTCGCACAAGAACAAAAATCGTGAGACAAGATGATGCCGAATTCAAGAAAGTGAGAGATGACACTGACGCGCGTCGACAAATTTGGCACGTCGTTGGCGGCGGTTTCACTCGCGTTTACATAAGATTTGTTTTACGCGCATATGGTGCACATACGTACACACGCGAAGCGGGGAGCGCACACACGTGCGACCGCACGTGTGCGTGTGCACGAATACGATAGAAGGAAATGTTGCACCTGAAAGAGCGAGAGCACAACGTCATTGCCAACGCGCACTGATGGTGGTGTACCTTCACTTTCCACTTTATCCGCTAAACGGATCTCTTTGACATCCGCGAACACGAACACCTCTCTCGACAAGCTACGGCCGTAATGCGTCTCATTCTCGCCTGTCACATCTGCGAAAAACAGACGAATCGGAGAAGAACTAAGTTTTTTCCGAAGAGATTGCACATTTTCTAATTTATTCAATTAGAAACGCTTCCGAGAGAACGGGAATTACAAACGGGAAAGAGATTTTCCAAAACTTCAATAAGAAGAAACAAGATTATTCTTTTTTCTGTTTGTTCATACCGCAAACATCCGGTTGAACCGCGTCAGGAAGCTCGACGAAAGTGAAATGAACGCCTATGTTGCAGAACTGTAATTGTCGATTAAGTTGCGCATGTAATGAATGTCTTGAGATATAATTTCTAGTTGATCTCGCGCGTACCAAGAAGGCGATAATATCTCTCGTTTGTGTTTTACATAGCAAATACATAGATCGGGAATCATCGTACAATTTAATTCTCGATAAGTTGCAATTACTTCGCACCTCATTGTTCTCGCGAGATTTAATTAAACGCGGAGTCATCGATTAGAGCGCAAATGATGATTTAAAAAATTTATCGCTACAGATAGAACTACTAAAAACTATGAGAATTAATTGTAACTTCACAGCGTGTACAACGTTATCTAATGTTACTTGAAATTGCAGTTAAATATATAAGCGCGCCCGATAAAAATGTGCTACACGTAACGATTATAAGGTCATTGGGAAGAGTCTCCGCAGGTGCTACTTTCTCTCGCACTTGTCCACGATTTTTAATATCTTCATACCTTCAACATCGCGTGTCGTGCAATTTCTCTCATTATGCACGCGACGCTCGTTGCGCGCGCGCGCGCGTTTTGTTCCTCTTTTTTTTAAATCCTTTTTTTGATATAATCCCGAAGAGATTCAATGTTAAGTTCACCAACTCCTAAAACGTGAACTTAAATTTCTCGCGAGACAGATATACGAGCTACTCACAAAGAGCCTTGATACTAGCACTCTCCCCGTAACGTCAGCTTGAGCGTGTCCGCTTCGTTGCTGCGAATGCGTTGTTGTATAAGTTTCGCGAAAAATTTGTGCAATTCTCGCGCGCTCTCGACGCGGCGAAACACGGCCGCAGTCGCGCGTCTGGAATGGCTAAGAAGCTCTTCCGGCAGTTGGAAATTCTTCGCCCGTAAACATATTGATGTACGCACGCACGCTTGACTGATCAACCACTAAATAACGGCACATCAACGGCGCGGGAAGTTAACTTGCGAGTTTAGAATCGTTTAAATTTATAGAGTTGCGGGATTCCCAGTTGTTAGAGTCTCTCGCGCGTATGCAATAAAGGTAACATAGATTAGGTCGGCATTTTACACGCGTGTCAGATTTGTCACTTTGGTGCTCCATAAATTTCCACTTTCCAACGTAAGTTTCTGACTTACAAATTGAATAAAGATAAAACGAAACAAAACCTTCTCAAAAATACATGTTAATGTTTCGGCGATTCATTAAACGCGCCGTCGCGCGACTCCACCTTTGTCTTTTCACGCGTCTCTATAACGTTTAATTTACATTTCGCCAAAAGAAACATATAAAACGCTTGCTCGGTGCGTTATTCTCAAACATATTGGAATGTACACAACCCGCGTGTTTCTCGCTTTCTCAAACCTCTCTTCTGGAATTTCTCCCGCCCATATCATCCACGCGCGTTTCTTTTAAGCTTTTTGCAGACGTGATCTTATCGTCATCGTCTCTTACACGTTCTGCTGGGACAAAAAAAAAAAAAAAAAAAAAAAAAAATTAGGTTATATTATTCTTTTTTGTTCCGAGCATGAAATTGTGTCGTGTAATTGGGCCGATTATATGGAAACGAGCCCCTGATGGGCTGCGGGGAAAAAAAAAAAAAAAAAAAAAANAAAAAAAAAAAAAAAAAAAAACAATGGACAAGTATTATAATATCTGTAGAAGTCGAAGAATATATAAAAATTTAAGTCTTGCGCAAAATCGATGAAGTAACGCCTGGAATTCTCAAAACGTCGTGTCGCGCATTTAAAACATATGTAAATGTGTCAAGCAAATGAGGATTAAAACTGTTATATGTGACTTCTCCTAGTTTGCGGCCATTCATTAAAGTCATTGCTTTGTCACCCGTCGCTGGGCGTAATCGTTCGCGGTTCGGAGCGTAATAACGGCCGCGACGGAAGGAACGCGGTAAAAGTAGAACGTAGGCGCGCTTGATAGCCAGCTCCATCCGGAATACAAGAGCGTAAATATGCGGTAAACACGTTTCGAGCAAGCGATCCCCAACCTTGACATTTCCCGACCGCTCTCGAACACTTTTCTCAATCATCTGGACGATCACACGAGATATATCGTGTGATCTCCGTTTATATAAAAAAAAAAGAAAAGAAAATTCACACAGATTCTCGTTCGGGATAAATTGGACAATCATCTGATTCCGACCATTTTCGAGAGGGAATAAAGTTTCGATGTAACGAGATGAAATTTGGATTCGCGCGCGAGATTAATCAGATGCAAAACAATACTCGTTACTTTCACGAATGAGGACAGAAAAAAAAGAAAGAAATACTTTCTTTCGCGACGTATTTACGCGCCGATAAAACTACTGTGTTTATTTTCTGCGTGTCTATGTATAAAAAAAATTGTTTAGAATGTTTAGAATGTTACCTTCGTTGCGTCCGTCGCTCATTATCCTCCTTCCTCATTATTGCCTTTCTTTGATTTTCAGTGCATTGCCAGAAGAACAAAAAGGACGAGGACAACAAGAAGGACGAGGAATTCAGGTGTCCGGAAGGCCAGGGTAACGGCAATTTTGCCGATCCGGCAACCTGCAGAAGATTTTATCAGGTAATTGCATGACGTGTCGCATTGCTTCTGTTGCTTTTGTCGTTCGTCGATCGTTTATTACCTCCGTTACGATTGCTCGCGTCGCAATTACTAACAATCTTGTTTTGTTTTTTGGAAAGTGCGTCGATGGATATCCGTACCTGAACCGATGTCCGTCGGGCTTGCACTTCGACGACATCAGCAAATTCTGCACCTTCAAGAACGAGGCGCGATGCGGACCCATCGAGACTAGTGAGCGAACAGTGTTTTTTCTCGCGTTCTCCAAAAATTTGACACGAAATTAACGGAGCGAGATTCAAAGAGGAAATTACACGCTGTCGAAAAGCAATTTGACTAATGATACAGTTATTACTTTTTCGAGCGCGCCGTTCCTAATCTGCGTTTACTCCCCCGGGTGTATAATTTTCGGAAGAGAATCGTGAGTGCGGTCCTCGCAATAGTCTTTCAAATCTCTTTTCTTTTTTAGCACCAGCGCCAATCACCGAACCGCCGACGGATCTGGCCGAGCGCTGCGACACGGCGAACTGTCAGCTTCCGTATTGCTTCTGTTCCAGAGACGGCACGATCATTCCCGGCGGTCTTCAGCCGGAGGAGGTAAGATAAACGATTGATTTCACGGCTTACGAAATGTGTCCGAAAACGACGCAGACGCAACATCTTCAATGATTCCAGACGCCGCAAATGATAATAATGACGTTCGATGGTGCGATAAATCACAACAATTTCGATCACTATCAGAAGATATTTACTCAGGATCGCTTGAATCCTAACAATTGCCCGTTGAGAGGCACGTTCTTTATCTCTCACGAGTACTGCAACTACAACATGGTCCAGAGCCTGGCGCACGACGGCCACGAAATCGCGACGGAGACGATCTCGTGAGTAAATAGTTGATCGTAATCGGCGAGCGTCGATAAGTAGCGTTTCGCTGATCGAATCGTACGTTTTTCAGACTTCAAAAAGGCCTGGAGGACAAAGGCTACGAGGAATGGGTCGGCGAGATGATCGGCATGCGCGAGATACTTAAGCACTTCAGCAACATTTCGACCAGCGAAGTGGTCGGTATGCGGGCGCCTTACTTGAAGCCCGGCCGCAACACTCAGTACAAGGTACTCGAGGACTTCGGATACATATACGACAGCAGCATCGGGATCTCGCCGTTGAAGGTGCCAATCTGGCCGTACACTCTCGACTACAAGATCCCACACGAGTGCAAAGCCGGCACCTGTCCCACCAAATCGTTCCAAGGTAACGAAAAACTACGACGAAAATTTAAACAAAATAGATTTCATCAATGTAAAATGAATTCTAGTAAACAATGTATATTTTTGATATGCAATTTTAAAGAAATTATTTATCTGTCGCAGGTGTTTGGGAGCTACCTCTGAACGCGCATTACGTGGAGAGCTACGAAGGTGGGCACTGTCCTTACTTAGATCAATGCGTCCTACACAATCACGATCCCGAGGAGGTGTTCGAGTGGTTGCAGGAAGACTTTAACAGATATTACGAACAGAACAGAGCGCCGTACATGATGCCTTTCCACACCAATTGGTTCCAAATCAAAGAGTTGGAACGCGGTCTGTCGAAATTCCTCGACTGGGCGGTGACACTGTGAGTACATGAAATACGTCTCTGCTAAAAACCAGAACATCTTGAAAGTAACATTTCTGTCTTACAGACCTGACGTTTACTTCGTAACCGCAACACAAGCGTTAACGTGGGTGACCGATCCGAAACCGATTAAAGCTCTGCATAATTTCGAAGGATGGTCATGTAAAAAGAAAGAAAATTTGCCGGGACCACCGTGCAATAATCCACATAAATGTGCTTTAGATTTCAAGCCTTCTGAAGCAAATTTCACGATGACAAGGTAGAAATTAACGCAATTATCAATAACATAATTGTAGAATCCAATCAAATTACTGTTGTTTTAATAGAATCATAATTGGATTTATAAAAATTTATAATTAATTACAGGTATCTAGAAACGTGTAGAGAGTGTCCAAACAAATATCCATGGTTAGGAGATTCTAAGGGTACAGGGCTGTATAATGATAACTATAATCCCCAAAACAAATAAGGAGCGTCACTCGAGCGAGTTAGATTTAAATTTTAGCCTGTTGCGCCTCGTTTGTTGCTATCAATACGGATGGCATATGTGCGCGACAAATGATCGACGGATCTTTATAAAAATTTCAATTTGCGTGTATCTCAAATGTGTATAAGTCAGTGCGCATCAACTCATACTTCTATTTTCGTGTATAGAACATATATTCGGCAATTTTTTGCAAATATTTTTAACGTTATGTATAAATGCTCAACTTAAAAGAGAAAATTATCTTGGTGCTAAATAAAAACAAAAACTTTTAGTTTTAGAAGATAACCTAACGATATCCTAGAATAATTAATCTTAAACAAATTCCCTTACTTTTTTTGAAAATGATATATGCTCTTATACATGTATATATCCGTAACAATAATATCCATTATATTTATATATTGCAAAGTATGTACACAACACATCTATGTTCATTGTATTAAATCATACTGTCTTATTGCATCAAAGAGTATACAAACAAGATGCTGCAATTGCTTCTAATAAATTGCAGTTATCTAACGTATGGGCAGCCAAGAATCAAGTACTTCGCTATATTTCTTACGTTCTGAAACAAACATAAAAAACCAAGGCAGTTGTACATTTTGCACTCAACTGATTAGAGAGAGAAATATATAGATTTTTTCTTATTAATTATATAAATACACAATCATGTTTTATACAGATAACAAAACCAACTTTTTGCTTAACTCGATATTTTTCATTTTCTTTTAAAAATAAAAACAATTATGTCACCTGGCTCTGGGAAAAGTTCTGGGTGTTGTATGATATAATCTCTCAATTTAGTATCACGGTCTGCTTTGTACGCATCAGTTGTTTTGTTTATACCTTGAGCAACGAAATATCCTAGTGTCATTCCTATACCATGCGCTTGGAAACCTGAACACAAACATCAGTTTGACACTATGGTTGTCGAAAAAGCTTACCATAGAACTGAATAATAATGTGTGCAATTCTGTCATCTTTATTGAAAATCAATTATGTCAATCAAATAAGGATTTCTGCTTTGTTTCCTAAAATTGAAATTATAAGAGAGATATAAGAAAAAAAAGAAAATAAAACACAGTTTGTGATTGTGATTCTAAGAGAACTGCTACGTTACATAACCCGCGTCAAAAGGTTAAAGATGTCTCAAGTCAAGACGAACAAATGTCACGCGCATTCATTATCACTCGATACTACTTACCAGAATACCATGGCCTATAACAGTAAAAGTTTCTTGCGCAGGGGATCGCGAAGCCCATTACTATACAGCATATTTCATTTATATATTTCTGCAATACACTCGGTTTGTAATCGGGATCCGGTTTGAGTAAATCCAGAGCCCATTGAATTTCCGGATGATCACTTATTTCATGTGAATGGTGTTTGATGTCTGTCATATTTGCGAGACAATTTCTTTTCCGATGCTAAATCAACGAAGTTACAAAAACACGACACACCGATCAGCCGCGAAGTTTTGCTTTGAGTCGCAGACCGGCTGCAAGCTGCGACCGATAAATGAGGGGTTTACTCCTGCCACCTATATTTCTATTTAGTAAGTTAAATTTTTTTGCAGAAATCTAGTATCTGAATACTTACTTCATTCTTACAAAAGTGTGGTCATAGCGGATTGAAAATGATTATAAATATAATCTCAGACGGACATTTTAACTAAAAGACTAATTGAATTTCAAATATATAAATATAATAGTTATAAAATAGTTTTATATATATAACTATTACATAAAATATTTCTCTTATATTGACCCAATACTTTCTAAAATGTTATACTCTTTTCTTTTAAACTCTCTCTCTCTCTCTCTCTCTCTCTCTCTCTCTCTCTCTCTCTGTTGATAAATTTTTCTAAAGGAACTCCATTAAATAAAAAACGAACAAATATATTGTTGTAAGATTTTTATTTGTTAACTATTGTTTCACATAGACTACCAAATGCTAACATGATTTTATATATGTTTGATCATATTTTTGATAGCATTTTGTAATCACATTTTTAATAGAACAATGTGTTACTTTCACTTGTTTCTGTTAGCACTCTTATCAAAGATAGCCAAAATTTCGAGTTTACACACATTATGGCACAAAACTTTCGAATCAAATTGCTGTTTTTTACAGCATGACTTTTTGATTTATATATGATTGTCAGTGAACTGATGCATTTGTACATTATTTATTTCAAACAAAAAAACAGTCTATTAAAATTCTTTTCTATTAACACCTTTTATATTGCTTGGCCATCTTTGCGATGTCGTGTGTATGTGTGGTGCTACAGTAAAACAATTTAATACATATAAATAAATATAGCGAAATTGTTCTCGAATTTACCTAAAGTAACTGCCGTGTGAAAAGAATACCATGTGTGGACCTTGCGTATATTATAGAGAAGTAGAAAAAATATTACCGTCACACACAGAAAAGCGTGACCGGCACACACTCGGCTTCCGAACGAGAACATTACAGTATAGTTTCACTTTTTAAAGCTCTTCTGATAAAACAAAATATATTCTGTCGCTTAATATATAACAACTAACATTCCTATAATTTCTCCAGAAAAAGATAAAACACTATAACAGAATGATATTTACAGTATATAAATATTCTCTTTGCTTCAATAATGCTCTGAAATCTGATTTCTTGTTGTAAACGAGAAAAGATGAGAGCATTTTGTTAAAGGAACTTTTGAATTTAAAATATATTGTATATGGAAGTAGTAGTAGCGACTATTAATGCAAAATTACATCAACAATAATTATCACATTACAATATGTGCTTGAGAGTATCATATTGCATTATTTGTAAATAATAAATAATTACAAAATAAACCTGTAACTTTGTAATCATATAATAATTACTGAGTATATTGCAAAATAAAAAAAATACGTATTGTAAAATAATGTGGCACTTATTAAAAGAATACTGACTTGATTATGAAATGCGCACAGTATTCACAAGATTATTGAAACATCACATAAAAAAAATAAAGTTAACTCCGTTTTCTAACATTTATCATTCCCATTTCTCACTCTCACGCGATATATTTCTACTTGAAAAATATGAAGTAGAATAAAAAATCTATATTCGAAACTTTCCTGTAAATCTACATCAAATTGTCCGAAACATTGTTCTGTTTATCAATATTTTCTCCAGTCGTATTACTCTGCTATCATTGTTATTTATAAATTCTATTTGTGAATGTAGTATTAAATAGCTCCAGGAACAGCTCCATTGACGGCTTCACGACGATACCACATAGCTGCAGCAGAGCTGCAGGGAAAAATCAGACAGTTATGAAATTTATTGTACGCATAGCACTGCGCAAGTCATAGTACATTCATACAAACCTCAAGCACGAGGAAGGCATTGTTTCTACGTATACGTATAGTACAATCGCTATAAAAATACTTCCGGTTCGTAATGGGCATAATAGCACCGCTAATATACCGTATTCCAAATAGAAAATATAGGTCCACACGACTTGCACAAGAAGTAATAGACAAATTGGCACGGAGCGGCAAACCAAACAGAATTTCGACACGCGTTGTCCCGCGGGATGTTCAATTTCTTGCAATCTGAAATGGCAATAAAAAATTGAGATTGGGACAATCTTTTGTTAGCGTGACGACATAAGTTATTACAATAAACGAACCTACGGTCAGCCTGAACCGCTAAAATAATCGTAAGCAGGAAGTTGAAAATAACCAAGTGGATGTATCCGTAGAAGTACGTAATACCACCTGGTAGGTAACTATTTTCAACGTATATTCCCCATACGAAGATCGCGCCTATATGACCGTCAATTACCTCTCCTACGCTCCACGGACCTTTGACAAGCAAGTTTTTGTTTTGTTTTTCAACTTATTTCCATTCACTGTTTCTCTGACATTTGTGTTTACACACTCACCGATAGCCATGTTCAACGAGTACAGCATCAAAGTAAAAAACACTTTATCAACGGTGGACAGTACCCACAATTTTCTCACCACCCAATGCAAGAATCTGTTACGTATCCGTGGTCGATACATGCGTCTACCTATATCGGAACAAAAGCTTTTTTCAGCATGCATAGTTCTTAAAATATTGATATAAAAAAAACTCGCAAATTTCGCATATTTACGTTTCCTGTACATATGAATGAAGCGTAATAAGCACAATGGCACTATCATTATTGCCAATAGAATAAAGAACGCTATCTGGAACTATAAGAAAAATAAAAACGTTAAAGTGCACACACCTTACGTTACATGAAAATTTAATCAACTAGTGTGACTTGTGGTAACTTACAATGTGAACTACGCTGTACATCAGTATTAATTTGGGCAAAATTCGAAACGATAAAAACGATCCGTCGAGAGAGAAATCATGTGATACAATTTTCTCTCTATTTTTCATGTCAATTACACGTGCCTGAAAAAATATAAAATACAATTTTGCTTGTGTATAAAAACATATGACATTTTTAAAACCAATACTCTTTGATTCAGTTCAATAATAGAGACATCTGTACTCAACTGTTATGTGATGAATACCCTCCGTGTACTCTGTCGAATTCCATGGCAACACATAGAGAGGACCTTTTACATGATCACACTGCAGCCAATCGCATTGATTGTCGAATTGAATTTCGACGCTTTTTATCGGAACCGTGGAAAACGCCAACACTCTGCAACGAGCAATTTGTGAGCTGAACACTTTACGAAGTCGACACAATAAATAGTACTAATAAAAGTGCGTTTTACCTGACATGCGTGGATGTAATAACGGATTTCGGGTTTTCTTTTTGCGGCATCCTAGATTGCGCGTTTTTCGGATTGGTGATTAATACTACAGGCCAGTCATTGTGCTTTATATCAATGAATGAGAACTGGCCGTGATCTATTGCCGCGAGGCGATACCTAGTAATAAGCGTGTGTATGTCAAGTAGGCGTCTACTGTTCGTAAACTAAGGAGAATCGATAGTGGTAAGCTGCATATCGGAGATATAATGAATAATGATACAGCAAAGGAGTATTTATATAATCAGTATCAAAGTGTTTCACTGTTAATTTTATGTGAGTTATAAGTTAATTTTACGTGAGTTATATTATAAGTATTGTATCTATGAATATCGCTGTGACACAGAAAGCAAAAATAAACACACTTCTAGAGATCTTATTCGTTCTGAATAAAAATGCACAGAAGAGATTTCTTTGTTATGTTTATGCTTCGTAACTGATTGTACTTACAATTAAGTTGATTTCAAAGAAACCAAAATAAATGTAATTACAATAACTAAAGTTTCTTAAATATAAGTAAGGTAGAAATATATCGTCTCTTACATTCTATTGTCCTTCCAATCTGCCAATTCCAGTTCAAGGAAGCCCCCTTTTTGTAAAGTATACATATTTGGCATTGTGCCACCAAATGTGTGATAATGGCCACATAGATATGCCATATTTTCTCTGTAACTACCTTTTAATAAATTAGATTATTTCAAGATTTGTCTTGTACCTTCAATGAAAAAAAAATTACATAATTATTATCTTACTTAACAGACTCCTGATGTCTGTATCGGCCCGAGATACTATGCACGATGTAGGATAATGACCAAACACAATTGCATGATCAGCCTTGCTTTCTTTGGATTGTTTGATCAACTGTTTTATCTTGTCAATCTCGTGTTGGTCTAAAACGCCAATAAAATTAAATGGTCTCTTAGGGCCTGGTTTCAAACAAGCATCAACAGCAATAAACGAGTACGTTTCAGAACCAACATTGACATTGTACATGTAGGATCTAGGATGTTTCTTTCCCTGAATAGAATAGTTTGAGTAATAATTGTGCTTTGAGTCAAGACTGATCATGTTAAAGTTATCTGAAAATGCATTGATAAATTTATAATATTCCTCAAAATATAATATTTAAAATGAGATTGTTAAAATATTTGCTTTTTACCATGATTTCCTCTGACATCCAGCCACAATGTTTTCTCTTTAATATTAGTTACTTCCATCACATATTTATAACTACGCCATTCTGGAAGTATCTGCTTAGAACCCAATCTGTCACTAGCTATGGCATCAGTTAAATCTCCTATCAAAATACAAATAAATGATGTATTTTAATTTAGAAAGTTTACTACTTACTTTACTCATTAGTTGTTATTCTCATTGTACACTATAAGATTCTTGTCATATGTTTACATACTCTGACACATAAATTACCTGAAGCCACAACAACTGCAGGCCTTATTGAATCTACAGTAACATTGCAGAATTCCTGAAGCTCCAATATTCTGGATACATCCTTAAATACACTTAGATGTAAGTCAGATATCTAAAGATATACAAACAACTGTTAAAATACATGTATCTCTGTATTAACCACAAGAAAATAGAATTCACATTGCATTATCATCTGTTCAAAGCACAGACAAACCTGTAAGAACCACATCAAGCGATCATAGGACCTTCCTATATTATAATACTTTGGATATTTGGAATCAGAAGATTGTGCCATCCCATTATTGTCCCTGAATGTCTCGTACGAGGGATATGACTCGACGTTGATAAAATCAGCCACATTGGCCACCAAAATAGAAAGCATCAGCACGAAAGTCAGGAGGACGATAGTGGACTTGGCTATTCTCATCGTGACAACGTTCAGGCGATAACTTCTAAACATCAAGAAAAACATCTGCTTCCGTCACAGCCACCTGCTTCGAATCTCTTGCCTCATGGCAGACCGGCTCGATGATCGCTGACATTCGATACGCTGTCGACGAAGATCAAACTGGGGAAGACGGCCAAACGAGTCGGAGGATTATTCCTCGGGGGAAGTCACGTTGCTCGCGTTCGTCGCGCGACGAACGACAAACGTTCGCCGAGAATGCCGAGATTCATTTCCGCGTCTATTACGAGAACGCGAGCGGCATCGAGCCACGTTATGCGCATTCGCGCGGCAAAATCGATCGAAAACTTTCGGGGAAAACTTAAAGCGATCCGAGTCGATCGGTTTACGCTTTCATTTATTCATCTTCTCTGTCGCTATTTATATCTCGAGAATGTCGTCACGAAAAATTCATGCAACCCTCCTCTGTGCTTGGAAAGTTACTCGGACACTGTCACGCACTTGTCAACTGTGTATTCGACCATAACACGTGTGTTTCTAAATTGAATGTTATAAATAAAACCAATATATTTTCTACACAGGTTTAAACGTGCCAAAAAGTTTTTCTAACCACCAACAAAACAGTTTTATTTGTGTGGTTTTACTTATGAGACAATTTTAGAAACACTCTCTCTTTGTATAAACAAATTATATTATACGTATGTATATGTATATATATATTCGAGATTTTCTGTATTACTAGTTTACGATCATGAAGAATATTTTTATCAACAATGTTGGAAGAAGCCAGTAGATTTTCTATTTTACCAGTAAGAGACACAAGAGATTTTATCGACTTAGCTGCGTAATAATTCAAGTTTTCACGAGGCTGTAAGATGATGTCGCTGTATGCTATTAAAAATGGGAGGAAACTCAAAGTTTAAACACAGAGAGAAAACCATGAGCGGCCAGGATTTATTTTATATAAAGTAAGTTTCCTTCTTGTATAAAAAAGGGCATTTGGACCGAGAAGTGCGCGTTTGGAATCGAATCTATCGCACCTATTGTTGCCTCTTTTCCGCGTAGCCGATTGGTTGGTTGGTTGATCGACATATACATATTATATACATATAATTTATTATATATTTATAATATTATACTTTATATTGTATTATATGTATTATATACATACTACAGTAATGTCACTAACCTCCGCCGCGCGACCTTGGCGGGGTCACTGACCTCGGACGCGCGACCTTGGCGGAGTCATTGACCTCGGTCACGTGACCGCGGCGAGGTCACTGACTTTAGTCACGTGATTATGGTATATATGCGTAGCGCACGCCTGTGTTGTGCTAGTATGTAAAAAATATAAAATCATATAAAAATACTTACAATTAATTTTTTTGTTTTTTAGGTTTTGATTTTGCCTGGATACAAATTTACGATCGGTAGTTAGAAAATTAAGATAAGGGATTTGACGCAAAAGTTTCACGGTGATAGTTATGAAATAGAGAAGATAATAAAAATTAGCGATGGATACGCAATTTGTCATTATCTTGTTTCAATCTGACGCATCTATATGCAGCTCGTGGCTCGCATACGCGTAAGTATACCCGCAAGTAAATTGATAATTGTGTAACTATGTTTAGATGTGTTCTGACTTACGTAAAAAATATTTAAGTTATCCTGATTCAACGGAAGTTCCGAAGATTTCGCGGAAATTCTTTTCTTTTTGTACGCAATTCAAACATTATCTCGTCGCAATATATGCGTCAGATTTGCGGTTTGTAGCTCGCATGTGCGTAAGTGTGCCAACAAGTATATTGTTAGTTGTGTAACTATGTTTAGATATTTTCTGACCTACGTAAAACATATTTATGTTACTTTGATTCAACAGTAGCTCCGAAGATTTCGCGGAAATTCTTATTTCCTATAACATAATACGTATTTTTATATATATTAGTTATATATTTTTTTCTTATTTGTTCGTCATCAATACACTGCAAATGTTTAAAATTTCGTTTGCAACGTTAAATTGTAGATAATTTTTATAATAAATGAGAAGAGAAAAATAAGTTGTAAACAAGTAAGAATTGATACTTCTATCTCTCTTTTTCGTTCTTCTTCTTGTTTTACAACATGTAAGAAAATCTATTATAAAACTAATTATCAATTTCTTATCTGTCTTGCATATCTATTGTATTTATTGATCTTTTATCACGTGTCTATTATTAATATAAATTTGTTATGTAACAACTTATACTTTTTCTTATTTCATTTATTTTGATATTATAAATCAATAAATGTATATGTTTCATGTTTATACAATTATAGTGTTCTCTCTCTTTTTTCTCTCTTTCTTAGTTATTTAGTCTTAGTTATTTGTGTAAAAAAGATTAATTTATATATGTATATATATATATTCTTTAAAAAGATAAAGGTTTTATATAATTTAGTTCCTGATTTAATCTCATGTATTTGTTTAATCTTTTTTTTCAAAAATAGCCATATATTAGCGAATATAGTTTATTCGCTTTCAAAAATTTCATCAGGATTATTTTTGATTTCATATGTATCTATCTATTTCATCGCGACAAAACTGTAAACGACCGCAACTGACGTGCTTCGATGAGGCTAGATAAAAGTCTCTCGGAAGCAGATAATAAATGTAGTTGATAAGAGAAAACCCACGGATCGGAAGTCGTCATATCCAAATCGCTTTAAGTAATTCGCGAAGTGTTCTAAAAGCTTAAAAGTGGTTACGCAGCAGCTACTTTAACAGTACAGTGCTGGCGCTTGTTTGTGTATAATGTGCTTCGTTTTACATCGTACATAGAAGTGAACGAGGGTAGAAAAAATTAATTGCAATGGCGTTGAAAAATCTTATTACAATGCTTTTATTAGCGAATCTCGTTATTTTCAAAGTACGTAAGAATTTATTTTTTCGAATTGTTTCTAACGAAAATCTAAGCAATCGGAAATATTGAGCAGTGTGAAGCATTTTAAAAGAGAGACGCGCGTGGATTTTTACATGTTCTGTGTCGTGTGGATCATAGATGGTAGATTTTTTTTGTGAGCGCTCATTTGTTATCTAAAAGTTGCTCCTTCTGACACACACAATCACGTTATGCATTCTGTAATATTCTGTATAATAGCGTTTATGATAAAATTTGTAAATTTATTGGTGATCTATATAAGCGTGAACAAAATATCACATGAAAAAGCTTAAGCACGTGTCAATATAATGTGATATATCAAATTTAATAAAACATCTATATAATACACTATTGTATACATATAAGAAATTAATAGAAATAAAAATTAATAACGACTTAAGTAAGATACGAATTGACGCAATCACATATACAAATGGCTGAAGAATTAATTTCAGAGATATGCAATCACACAATATTAATTCAAGATAAATAATGTGAAATAATCAGATACGTATGTATCTCTTCGCAGAAGACAAAATGACAAGTGAAAAATTTCGCAGTTATTAATTGAGATTATATATATATATACATTGTCACAGTTATCAATCAAGATTAAATATACATATTGTCACAAGATACTGTATTGATAACAGAGAAAGTTTTAATCTGAACTTTTAATGACAACAAATTCTTCGCGATCAAGTAGAATTAAAGTGTGATTTTTGTTTTTATTTCAGATCGTTGTTGCAATCCGTGTTAACAACGACGCAGATGACTTTTACAAGACTTATTACCTCAATAAGTACAATAGAAATTATCGTGATGATCAAAAAGAGTCTAAGGAAAATGCAAGGAAACTCGCCAAACACATTGCCATAGCAATTACCGAATCAAACAATTATGAAGAACAATCGCATTCAGAAGGTGACCGTAATAATTGAAAACCAATATTTCAAAAACAAAAACAAGCAAACTCTATCTCTGACGTTCAATTCGTATTACATTGACCTAGTCATTATTTGAATTTTTCAATAGACGTTTCAAAAATCTTCGAAGTGTCTTTGCAATACGTAAAATCGACTAATAATTTATATAATTTTAGACGATGAAAAAGTAAAGCGGCCTAGATTTATATTTCCCGACCAAATGCTGCAAATGCGACTTGAAAACGAGAAACCTCTAATGATCCCGACAAACTGTGGCGCTCAAACTTTCTGCGAAAATGTCTCCAATTATCCTCAACGTTTTATGGACCAACTGATCCTAAACAATTCCACTCTGAGACATTACACGATTCAAGATGTTGTCAGTATATCAATTGTTTTCTCGTAATTACTTTCTAAAATTATAAACATTTTTTGTACACTAAAACGTTTTTTCTCTTTGTTGGCAGATGCCTATTAAAACGCGAGCATACACCGAAGAAAATCCACTTTGTGTACCTATAGTAAGATTACTTCCAAATTGTCATTTATTTTTTATAAAATATATTAATATTCTTCTTCAGTAAAAAAATTACATAAAATTTTAGGAACGATTAATTCATCCACAATCGGGTCGAAACATGAAAAACGAATCGCTTTTCATCATTCAGTCGAACGCGACGGGTTTCGTTCAGGCTATAAGAATCGAGACTTGCCTGTGAGTATTATATACGACATAATGTTAAGGTTGCACATGTATAAGTTGCAAATTAATAATACTTATTATAAAAATATAAATAAATTATGATCATCTTTAAATTGTGTAGTTATGGTTTTTGAATCTAATGGTATCAAATATGTAAATTACATCGGTAAGAGAAGAAAGTTGTAACAAACAAAACATTGTGACACATAATTTTTACTTGCAGAAACGAGAATAGCGAGTGCAGGCTGATCGATGTTCCTCTCGGATACTCCATGACGTGCAAACAGAAATATATTTATCGCGAGCTGTATGCCATCAGCGACACAGGCGAAGTAATTCGAGATCATTTTAAGTTACCCGCAAGTTGTTGCTGTCATTCTAAGTTCGATCCTCAGATCGTCAATGAAGTACAAAACAGCTTCAAAAAAAGATACAACATGTAACGTGTTTTACATACACATGTATAAAAATATTTAAAAAAATGTTTTACATAGATAAAAATACATATATATTTTTAAGCTATTACGAGCGCACGGAATAAATTAGTTGGCCACCGAATCAATCTTACGTTATCAAATCTGATGGCAAGATTACTGTGTACTCTCTCTCTCGCTAGTAACTAAGTTTTTAGAACACTGTATGCCGAATAAGAAACTCTGACGATCTGAAAAAAAGTAAGAATAAAACGACATGCAAAAAACAAAATAACTGTATGTTAAAGTTACAACAAATATTTTCTACATCGCCAAGTATCACTATAACGTATATTGTCTCGTTAACCTTCATGAACGACTCGTTGGACAAACTAACTATGTGGCCGCTGGTTATCGTAATTGGTTTTTTGCATCGTGTGATTATCATCAAAAGATACTTCGTTACATCAGTGGAAAGCATCGTCCAGTCCATTTCGTAAACGGCGCTGCCAATTTCGACGCTCTGCATGATTTAAGAATAAATTGCTTCAAAATTCGTAGTTCGTCTTCAAGCAAGTTCTGGACTTCTTGAAGAAAACGAGATTACTCTAGAAAATCAGAAATTTCTAAATATCCGACCTTCAGTGTCACTTCGTTGCCAAACCAGCAGTACAGATAGAGCTGCGTAAGCATGCATCCGAGATACGACAAACTCCACGCAAAGTCGAAGCTCAATATGCTCTTTGTCGACATTTTGTAGATGCTCAAAGAGAGCACCGTCGAACTTATGGTAAATTGCAGAAAGATCATCAATGCGAACACCGTATTGATACGTTCCGCGTATCTGTCGTAAGATAAGATCATTATTTACATATACACACATTGTTACATTATTGTTATACATATACGTACTATTTCTATTTTTTTTTCGATATCCTTACTTGTATATGTAGCGATGATGATGAACGAGCTCGCGTACAAGTCGCTGTTCTCGCGTCTTCAAGTTCTCCTTCGAGGTGTTGCGCTTCCGAACGTTCGACAGAGAATCCGGCAATGTGCGAGCGCGATGACAGAGAATGTCTAGCTGAGCGCAGGCTTGGATCATAAAACCGGCAACGAGAGTCTCGTGAGCGACACTGGCGTTCGCGCAGACCGTCAGTCCGATAGTTTGGTGCATCACTGTAGCCCAATAAACAGCCGTTGAAGAGATTCTATAGGGCACCCAATCGGACAGCGGTAAGCTTCGGGTACTGGCAAAACTCCACAACGGAGCGACCGTGGCGAAGAAGACGGCCGATTCGTTTAATATCTCGCAGTAGATGGCAAGTTTCCTAAGAGAATATATTTGATTTGTAAATAGCGTGAACACATTTGAGACCAACTCTTTGAAAATTCTTAGACGGAAGAGAGAGAGAATAAAACACACAATCTTGTAAAATAAGATTCCACAATACCCACTTTGCGTTATTATCGAATCGTCGCTGAATATTCGTCTCGTGATCGTTTCTAGGTAAGCAGATGTCTTTCAACAGCATATCGGCGAGACCGATAATTCTACCTCGGTGTATCACCAAGTTTACCACTTTGCAGCAAACGCCAAACACCGATATGAATAGCGAAAATTTCTCAATGTACGTTTCGAGATCTTTGAATATAAAGCTATCGACTATGCCACAAAACGCGAACGAGTTAAGCAGAAAAATCATCACGACGGAGTAAACGCAGTACGCCCGGTATTTGAGGGTCATCGGAGGCCAATCGACAGGTCGCCAATACCCGACATATGTCAACAACGCAAACGACAAGGGAAGAGTATGCATCGTGTGTTTATATTATTTATTTTCAAGTTTAATTAAAAGTACCAAGAAGAGGAGGTCTTCAGGCAAAATAAAATAAAACTTATTGCGAGAAAATTTTCTCTTAAGCTACTGTTGTGCATGTGTTATGCATTGTAGTCTCTATTTTTTCGCATTTCACGTTATACATTTTTTCTCACACATAAAGCATTTTTTCTTGTCATTTACCGCAATAGATGCATATATAAATAAGTTCCGCTGACTGTCGAGACATTATAATGAGCTAATAGACATTATAATAAATACTTGTAGAAAGCTTATTACATACGGTTATTAACTTACAGCGCCTGCCTTATTATACAATCATAAAAAAAACGAATAACGCGTTTATCTTTTATAATTACAATCGATTCTATAATTACACGTCGCTGAAAGAATACGAGCGCAAGAAAAAAACTTTTTTTCAAATGTATACTGTAGTTAAAAATTTTATGCTTTAATGCTTTGTCAAAAGCATAAATAATATTCAAAGATAAGAATTGCAACGTAAGGGTCAATTAGAAACGGCTTTTAGAAAAAAATTAGATTAATAAAGACGTCTCCGTCTCGCGGTACTGGATATACTCTGTAATGAGCGACAATTACGCGACTATTGAAGTAAAGTAAGACTTTGCGCTCGGCTATGTTCATTAATATGTGATAAACATTGCATGACGGTATACACGTGTTACAGAGACTACTTGCTGTTTAATACTATATGGTTTACAATGATGGTTTTATTGTTTGTGAAATTTTGCGGAATACTTTTTTCTTATTCTTAGTCGTAACTTAAGTAATACGTAACGTAAAGTCAGCTGGTTTACAGAATGGGATCAGGTTCAATTCCTCTAAGTTTCAAGCCGAAAGGACTTTGCGTGGCTGTCGTTAAATAAACTTTCCCGCGCCTGCAAGATAATTGACGTAAAGTTAATGTAAAATACTAATTTCATATTATTTTTTAATCTCTCCTAAAATTGTTCTTTAGTGCTCCGAATAGATTGAATACTGACGCGTTACTCGGAGTGCCGTAACCCATGATGATCTGTGCTTTGTCTTTGCACTTGCCGGAAACGAAATGATCCAGATCAGAGCACTCTACGCCCACAAAAGAAGATTCGTTGAGCAAGGATTCGGCGTAGAATCTCCAGGAACGATGATGACTGCAAAATTCTAAAAATGCGAACAAAGAATCAGGATGCGAGGGAGAGAGAGAGAGATAGAAAGAGAGAGAGAGAGAGAGAGAGAGAAGAGAGAGAGAGAGAGAGAGAGAGAGAGAGAGAGAGAGAGNAGAGAGAGAGAGAGAGAGAGAGAGAGAGAGAGAGAGAGAGAGAGAGAGAGAGAGAGAGAGAGAGAGAGAGAGAGACAAACAAATGTCACCAGATTGACTACCTTTGTCAGAGAAGATCGTGAAGTTCATCGGGCAACCAGGTTGTATGCGCTCACCACCATTTGGGAAGAAATCCACCGAGCCCGTGCTTCTTCCGATGCCGTAAAATGCGAAGTCAGTGTGTATGATGTCCACGAAGTCGGCATCGGAGTCCGAGAGACGATTCTGGAGGATATTATAACCTGGACCGGCCGGATCCAATCCTATATATATATATATATAAAAGAATTTTAAAGTATTATTCGATATAAACACGCGCGCATAAAATATCTTACATACTGCTCTAATTTAACAGCGAGATTTGTTCTGAAGATTTCATTAGTTTCATTGATTTTCTTTTATTTATTTAAAGGAAAACAGTTTTTAAAAACGTTTATTGAATTTTTGCCTGTAATTCTGGGAATCTTAAAGCTGACTTTTCGACCGACGTAGCTGGAAATTTGGGCGCCCAGCGAATGTGCGACTACGTGCAGTTTCTTCGGATCAAAACCAGATTTCACCATATCGTCGAGAGCGGTCACTACAGCGGCCGCAACGCGTGGGGCATTTATTAGCGCTTCCGGATACGTGTCGTTCACCAGTTTACCAAAATCCACCGCCAAGACATTGTGATCGTTTCGCTTCAAGTAAGCTAAAGAAACAAAATAAAAGATCATTTAAATGTGCATTTTATTTTTATACACTTACAGTTTTATATTTTATAGTTTTAAATGACTTGATGCGAAACACACTTCTTATCGTCAAAATGTACCTTTCACTATCGTGCGTACGCTTGTTTTTTGCACGTTTTCGGTGAAGCCATGAAAGTACAGTACAGTCGGTTTGTCGACGAATAATTTTGATGGGATTTCGCTAGTTTTATTTAGCCAATAATCAATATATTCGTCCATAGTCGTTCTAAGTGAGAGACAAATATATTTTTAGAATCAAAAGTAGATTTACTCGTGATATTTTTATTTTATCTTACATCGAAGAAAGATCGATAAAACAACAGGAACGCAATTCAAAGTGATTTTTATTTTATCACAGAGAATGAAGTTAGATTATGAAACGATAAAAGCAACATGAGTACGTGTAAAAATAAATACCCAGTATAAAGACGCAAAAAAATGGTATTGAGATCATCCCAGAGAGGCGCTCCATCTAGAAAAAGAGAATTTAAAGCTAACAAGTTGTTTCGCGTTTTTTCATAAAATAAACAATATTTTTCATAGTATAGAAAAACATTTTGTTCGTGTATATTACGTATTCAGACAAAAAAAGAGTATATTTTACTGTGAGACATCTCTTTCTCAGAGAAAACAAATTTTATTGATGTTCCTTGCTCTCGGTACGAATTCGTCACCTACGAGCGAATCGAAAGAGCTGCTTGATGGAAATAAAATTCCCAATAGTGATCAAAAGTGTTATTATGATAAAAAAATTGATTTTACAAATTTAGTTTTTGTTAGAGATACTCACCGATTGTCTCCGCGTGCATCACTACGGCGATGGCAAATAGCAAAGAAACGAGAATCATCTTGACTCTTCGGGGAACGTAGTCTATCGAAAATTTCCATGGAATAAATTTTGTTATTTTCAACGCACGTAAATATAAGAGAGCACATCAGGTTGCTATATATATGTATGCAAATCTTAAATTTATGAGACGTGTAGTTATCTTCTATCACTCTAGTGATTTACTTTTGTGTAAACGAAATATCTCGTGCTTATGTAATGAACATATAAACAGTATAGATATCATTCTTCTTTTGCAAGGAGTTTTTTCACTACTTAAAATAACTAACAATGTATAAAATTCCTTTAATATTCAATCACTCAAGAAAAAGAATATATAAAATATATAAAATAATAACAAACTTATACATAACAAAAAATAATAGATGTGTTTGTATGTTAAGATATTTATTGCGCGACAGTATAATTCAAAATTTTAATCTTACGCTATGGAAAGCTCTACTCTCAATAATCTCAATTCAAATGTCATACAAAAATACTTCACACATTTCTGTATTTTAATGAGATAAGACGAAGTGTCATCGATATACATGTATTGTTTCTTAAATAATTTGTTATCTAATTGCTTGTAAATTAATGTGCGTAATATCACGTCACATAATTCTGCCATCCAATCGCATTTATGTAAATTTACGTGCTCTAAAGTAAATTTATGTGCATGTTGGTAGATTATCTTTGAAAGAACACTTAATTATACGTATCTCCAACGCGCAACGAGAGAAGGGAAATCAGAGGAAATGGGAATGTCCGAAGAAAATTGCATTCAGCGATTCTTTGCGCGCCTTGCAAATAAATTAACACACAAGTAATGTTTGGAATATTCCAATTTATTTAATTTTTTTTCTCGTAATAATTGATTATAAGATTCATCAATTTTTAGAAATATTTATGTTTCTGAGCGCGCGCTTATATAAATGATAAGAGTTACATCAGATTTAATTGATAATACATAATAAACAAGTTTCCTGCATATATTTCTTTGTTCAAATTCTTCGTTGCCTTCGAGCATAGCCTTTATTTCCTTACTTATTGTCTGACGATTCTCACGTCAAATAAAATCTGCTCAACTCGGTGATTCGCAATGTTAAAACAAATATGTTTGTGTGCATATGTGTATGTGTGTAAGAGAGTTGAAAGTGCACGATTGTTTAAAATTAAGACAAGCACACAGACGGATCCTCAAGTGCAGAACGCTTTAGATCCGAGTAAAGTAATGGCTTTGAATCTTCGGGAATGGATGTTTGCATGGTGGGACATTTGGTTTTCCTCTTCGATACCACGGTTCGCGCGTGGATTTTGGAGGATACACGTTAATTGTACATTCATAGATTCTTACGGATCTCGATTATCTTTAGAATCTTCGCATTTACAACGAGAAGCGTAGTAAACATCGATACATAAATGTCTCGCGTATCCACTGAATACAGAGGGTGTGTGTTTTGTAAGCAATTTATATTAATCGCGATACAATGCTAATAGCTTAACTTTAACGTCGTGTCTTAGCCGGCCGCGTTCAACATAAAGTTTTGCGTATAGTCGTACTCGATCGTCGGTATGACGGATTGAACGAACTTCAGGAATATTATAAGGTACAAATGCACTCCTAATTCTCCACCGCCTTCCATAACCGTCTCCATAATTTTCTTCATCACTTCCGCGTGCCTGCGAAAGAAAAAAGAACAAAAAAAAAGAAGTAGAAACAGATCATTTAATACATCAAGACCAAGTTGTGAATTCGACAAAATTGAGACCTGCAAGGATGAACAGAGGCCATAGGAGGGCCAGGTATATGTGGATGCGTTTCCATTGTAACTGTCTTTTTAGCATGATCCTGACTAACGTCCTCGTACATTTCTTCCACGTTAAGCGGTTTTCGATTCTAATATGATCAAATAAATAATATAGTAGACCTAGGAACACGAATAATTTGAACATCCAATAATCGAAGATATAAATACACACTTTACCTCGTTATATCCAAATAACCATAATCTAGGCGTTTGATAATATTTGTCGTACGTAATATACAAGTCGTATGTACGAGTGCGAATGATCTCTCCTTCTGTAAACGACTCGCGTTTCTCTTGACTATTTTTCTTGGTATTTTCTGTCGCCGCGTGCTGTAACAAAATTTCTCGTAATGCTGCTCTTTCTTCAGCGAGTCTGCTTCCTTACCTTATCCTGCTCATCCAGCATGCCACTAATCTCAAAAGCTTCCATATCGGCGGCATCCTCATCATCTTCGTCCTCGTCCGCGTTGTCTTGAGTACGAGAAGGTTCTTCCATCGTTTCCTCTAGTGACATCTCTGTCACTCTCTCGTCTAGGCCGGCAATACTGGTGGCATAATGATGAGTGTCAACCCAGCCACCCTCGGGATCATCTGCTTCTATAATACATTCTTGCTCATTGCTATACTCCATCTACAAACGTACAGCAAAAGATATATAACTGCTACACGCAGATAGAGAACATAATTGTGTTATTTTAGATCTCAAGACTACCTGCTTGCATCTTCGCGTGCAGGGAACATTGCGAGTCAGCAAAAACTGTTTGCCTTTTGGTAAGTAAGACTTTGCTCTGTCCTCATCACCTGTAGCCCATTGCCAAGTAGGACAATGATGCACCAAATGATCTCCAGCAGCTACAAATTCCTCGGGTGTCAGAACACCAGTCTCACGAAATTTGCTCTCCTTAAAATTGTACAAGTTTACATAATATAAATGTTGAAATTGTGCTCGGTATATTGCAGTACAAATTAGAGAGAGTTATAAATTATAAAAGGATTTTGTATTTATGTAAGTTTTTAATCGATCGAACAGTTTATATTTTGCACTTTTTTCTGTACATTCTTCACAAGAAATTATCGCCGATTGTATACAATGCTTAAATTACTGCACATTCTTTATATCTCCCTACTTTTCTGTTTATGATTGACAATCTCTCTAACCAAGATATCGACTCCAAATTTTGGACATTTGTCTTCCAACGGATAAGCAAAAAAAAAAAAAAAACACCGGAGAAAGAATGTAGAAAACGAAAATTTACCTTCAACACCGGTGTCAGATATTCGGCGACTCCTAATGCGGTGCCTTTTACCGAATTAATCACGCTTTGCATTATTGACGGAGTCGTACGCGTTCTGCTGCGAGGAAACTGCTGCTGGAGAGATAACACCTGAAGGTTGCGAATGCGAGAAAGAAAACAATATTATTCAAAACAATTTCACGGTCATCCTAAAATCGTGTTGAAAATCCTTTTGTACGTTTGTATCAAAACACTTATTATGCCTTTTTTTTCCGATTCGCCGGATCGATTCTATTCGAACGAGATGTCACGCAACTTCACCCGGTGACAGATGATTACGGATTATGGCATAGATCGTAAATTTGTAGCAGACGTTCTTCCCGGATTCTCCCAGTTCTTTTCTGCTTGTAGCGGCACAGTAGCGAACCACCTCTTTCCGTTGGCACTTTTGATATTTTCAGTGCTGCCAAGATAAATGCACACGCGGGACGCGGATACAATTGTCAGTCAGCAGTAGAGAAACTGTGAACAATTTTTAGTTGTTAAATGTTTTTTCAATCAATATATAATTTTACATTATGGCGCGAGAACTTCACACGTGTCTCATACGTTACTTCGCGCGATTAAAAGAAATGGACAGCAAGTGGAAAGAATTGTCGCAAAATGCTCAAGAACCGCTTGAAGCTATGATCGGTTTAGGTGAACAATTTCGAGTTGTTGCTTGGTAATATATATAAAAAAAAAAAAAAACAATTTCAAATATAATACGTACGAGAAACCACACGTACAAATCTTCTCAGATTTTGATAAAACGTGCGTTTATTCGATTTCGTTCCGTCCGCAAACGAAGGTCCAAACAAGGTAAAATCGTCACTCGCGCGACGACAGGCTGCTACACATGTGTGTTGATCTTGTAATGACGTTTTCGAGTTTTGTGTGGTTAGAAAATCTGTCATATCGACAGAATACGCAGCGCGATACGAGGATCGATAAAAAGAGCGCGCAAAATTTGAATGTTTTTAGTTTTATCAAAATCTGAGAAGATAGAAAAAATTGAAAACTAAATATATAAATATTTATTCACACATGTACGCACACAAATGTCTCTTAAATACTTCTTTTTACAGTGAAGAAATAGAAGGTACAGAAGATATCGTAGATGAGGAGACGCGAGGAAGATTGATATTCCAGATACTTATGAGCCTTGAAGATAAAATGAGTCTCATTAATAATATCTTGACGCAATTTAATTACGCTAAACAAGTATACTTATTTATCTGCAAGAGTTTTGTGCAATTCATAAAAAAAAAATGTAATATTCAAACTCGATCTACGATTTTATTTAGGATTTAAAAAGTTATCTAGTCACTTTGGAAGATGCCAGAAGTAAAGTATCCTTGAAAGACGAAGCGATGCAGGAATTAATTAAAGGAACACCTTGTCGACCAGCGCTTGATCGGCTTTTAGTATGGTCTATGGAAGGGTTTCAGTTTTACGACAATATGTAATTTGTAAAAATAGTTCTTAATTGTTTCTCGATCGCTTTCTAATAATTGTGTTTTATTACAACATATCCTTCATTTTGTTACAACGTATCCTTCATTATATTAGGTACCATCGTATCAACGAGTGCGTGCAATCGATTGATTATAAATCGGAGGAGACTATCAACGATATGATTTCTTCTTTCAAGGAAGACAAGCGCAAGAGGAAGAATTTAAATTGTACGTGTAATATAGTTTAAAAATTTTTTCTTTATATTAAACAGCAACTACGCGTATATTCGAGATACAATCAAGAGACAATTCGATATAACGCGCTTCTATTCTATTACCACTTCGATTTTCACGTCCATATTTGTTATCGTTACATATAACAGTGAATGGTACGGTGAGGATGAGGTATATCTTCGATCGCTATTTCAGGGTAGAATGCATTAGAGTGCCCCAACATAATGCCTCTCTGGGTTGTATTTGACGTTCTCCAAATATCCGAGTTTAGATCTAATTATAAAAATGTCTCTCTTACAAAATAAAAAGGATTAATAAAGTATATGTTTCACAGGGTTACTTGCTCACACGCAGTTTTTAATTAAGGAGTCTCTTCCGGTTACTAAAGAAAAGAAAAGACTCGACGAATCCAAGTTAGAAAAAAACAGAAACTGATACAAACAAGATATATTGTAAATATTTTTCTACATTAACATATTGTAAAATGTAAAATATATAAATTTTTGTTATATATAAAAAGAAGATTAATTTATTTTCGCGAATCCTAATTTCTCTATGATTAAGGCGAGATTTTGATTCTTAATAATTTTTTTACTCTAATCTTTCTTCTTCGCAATTTATCGTACATTCTCACACTTTGCAACCATTACGTTATTATTTATAAGCCCATTGTTTTCCTTACAATTTGTTGCGATTTACGCGATTTGAGTTACAGGATGTCGATAAATCGCGACCTGTCTTCCGTTTGCGTGGTCCTATCGCGACCTTCGGTTCTATCTCTCCCTTGACGGAAGAAAAGAGGTTCCTCGCGCGCTGACGCGACGAGTCGCGGGAGAAAGTAAAGAGCGTCGAGGCGCCGGCGCTAGCTATTGATTCTCTCGGATACCGTGATTTCAAAAGTTACTATTCACCAGGACACACTGGGCCACCAGTAGTGAACCGCTCCTCGATCGCGGACAAGGTCCTCGCGCGTTTCTTCCTTTGGTCCCGGCAGGTCGGTAAGGATTTCGCCTCTTACGGTCTTCGCTCTCGGCGAACGATCGTGGGGAGAACGTCCTTCCCGGACGTTCCTCTCTTGCGAAGGATGTGTACATCCGAAGCTGTAGCTACATAAGCTGAGAAGAACAGAATTCGGGGTTACTGTGTCAATTACGGGTACAATAAAGAGGATATTCTCGGTGCGCGAGGGCGTTACATATGTAGACTCGTTTGATTGAATCGAGCATTCTTGTATATTGCAATGCAACTACGTTACATCTATTTGCGTAAAGATCGATCTTTTTCTTTCGCGAAGATGAGACAGATGTGTGTGTGTGTGTGTGTGTCGAAATATTGTTTAATACAATTCGCGTCTGTGAATGCGCGAGAATGTCAAAAGTAAAAATCAATTTCCGGTGAAGTTTTCGCAATCGATTTTGTTTTTGCACTTATATATATATTTCGCATTTTCGAGAGAGAGGGAGATAAACGCACTCACATAAGTGTGCCTATGCGAGGAGAACACGTGTGTACACTTAGGAGATGTATATGCACGCTTGATCGTGGCCGACACCTGTGTGAAAGGACGTGTACAACGATATAAATTGAATCTATTAAGATGTCACATAGGCAAACGAACAAATTTTGAATGATGAGAAATTGAAATTGACCAATCAAATAACGGGCTAAACTTGAACGCACGAGAACACGTGTTCTCGTAATCAAATGATCTCCTTCACACGTTCACACATTTAGTTTATTTAAGTTAAATTAATTTAAATGTTTAATTTAAACACACATGTGTTTTTTTTTTAATAAATAGATTCTTTTTTTATAATGTTTCTCTATTTAAAACAGTTTACTGATATCTTTTTGTTTGTAATGCAACAAACTGCTGGTTTTGGTATAGCTTCATCTGCCGTTCACATGTAATCACTCGTCATCCTTCAATCCTTCTCTCTTAACAGGATGGAGCTTCTAGGCCTTTTTGTTTGATCATTAAAAGAATCGGATTTTCGACGGATTAAAAACGAAAAGATATGGCGAACACGGCTCATCTCGTTCGCCGGCAAAGCTCCCGCGACCTGAAGCCACAGAAAAGCGTCGATAAGCTCGAGATGAAAGAGATGCGTGGTAGATTGGTGGTGGATAATCGTAAAAGCACCACCGCTGTTAATTACGGGGCTACTAACGCGGCTTTTGAAGACAGCAGTCCTAACAAGGTAGCACCTTTTGCGTATTTAAAAAATTTTTCTTCCCAATCTAGTTGGACGTTGCCAGTTTAGATTTTCTTGTAGAGCAAGATTGTAAACGGTCCGGGACCCGGTAACAACGACGGCAAGGCAATTTTTCGGCCGGAAGCGGGTGAAGATGAGCGCGAAAATTGGGACAGCAAGTTGACTTTCCTTCTGGCGACCGTTGGATACGCGGTGGGCCTTGGAAACGTATGGCGGTTTCCCTATTTAGCTCAGAAGAACGGCGGGGGTGCGTTTACCTTCGAATTTATATCTTACGTATAATTGATCACACGCGCAGTCGCAAGCTCAAATTACAATATTCGCAGGCGCATTTCTCATACCGTATTTCGTGATGTTGGCCATCGAGGGTATTCCTATATTTTACTTAGAATTAGCAATCGGTCAGAGACTGAGAAAAGGCGCTATCGGAGTGTGGAATCAGGTATATTGAAAAAAAAAAAAAAAAAAATACTCCTCAATCAGTAGAGTGAAAAGCGAGAATCTGACGAGTTTCTTATTTTTTTGAAAAGGTATCGCCGTACATGGGCGGTATCGGAATCAGCAGCGCCGTAGTTTCCTTCAACGTGGCTCTATATTACAATACTATTATCGCCTGGTGCCTATTTTACTTCGTTCAGGTAAAAACCGAATCGTCCGTTTCAATTGTATTTATATTATACATTTTTCTCTCCTTGCATCTCCTCGCGACGCTCACGGTAATCCAAATCTGTTTGAAGAGTTTTCAGTCGCAGCTACCTTGGGCGGAGTGTCCCAATAAGTACTTTCAAAATGGATCTTACGCGTCTGAACCCGAATGTTTGGTAACACTCTGAAGTTTACACTAATAATATATGACTAATTTTATTTTTATTGTCGTGTTCGCGCGCGCGTAGAACAATTTCCAGTTTAAAATCATAAACGGTCGATCAACAGGTCAGCAGCCCGACGCAATACTTCTGGTATCGTACCACCCTGATGATATCCAAGGACATTAACACGCCGGAAGTGTTCAACTGGAAGATTGCTCTGGCGCTGATCATCGCCTGGATTCTCGTCTACATGTGTATGATCAAAGGTATCGCATCCTCGGGCAAGGTACGATCGCTTCTTCATATACGAAACTTTAAAAATAATCGAGTAAGTCTCTTCAGATCGCACTTCTGATTTCTTCAGGTTGTATACGTGACCGCTACGTTTCCGTACATCGTACTCATAATTTTCTTCTTTCGAGGCGTAACGTTAAAGGGCATGTCGGACGGTCTGCGACATCTCTTCATGCCAAAAGTATATTATAACTTCTTTTTATTACGGTTATTAAATAAATAAATCTACAGAAAAAAAACAAAACTGTAAAAAATAAATAAACTAAATAGACAAAACTGTGCTCTAGTGGTGGACGTTGACCGATCCGGTAGTCTGGTTAGAGGCCGGAACGCAGATCTTTTTCTCCCTGGGCTTGGCTTTCGGCGGTCTGATAGCGTTTTCTTCGTACAATCCGGTTAATAATAACTGCTATCGCGACGCCATCATGGTCAGTTTCACGAACTGCTTCACATCCATGTTCGCGGGAATCGTTGTCTTTTCAATCATAGGTGAGCGACTTCTTCTTTTCTGCTCTACTGTTTCTATATTTTTCTCAGCTTTTTAATCCCGTTTGAACAGGATTCAAAGCCACCATGGTTTACGAACAATGCTTATCGGAAAGGAACAACACGCTGATGAGCATATTCGGCCATCCCGATAAGATACCGGAAAAAATACCGATTAGCGGCACTCTGCTAAATTTTACGGACGGCAATGGGACGCTGGACAATTTGATAATGCCGGAATTGCCCGAGTGCAATTTGGAAAAAGAGTTGGATAACGTGAGTGTGAAAGAGAGATTTTGTTTTTTTTCAGATTTTTTTCAGATTTTGCGCGCGTACAAATGGCGAAAGTAATAATCACGATAACGTTTATAGTCAGCATCGGGCACAGGTCTGGCGTTCATCATTTTCACCGAAGCGATCAACCAGTTCCCCGGCGCGCAATTCTGGTCGGTATTATTCTTTCTGATGCTGTTCACGTTGGGTATCGATTCCCAATTCGGTACGCTCGAGGGTGTCGTTACCAGCATCGTCGACATGAAGCTCTTCCCGAACTTGAGAAAAGAAATTCTGACAGGTTGAAAAGATTGCAGTGATAAATAGAACATTTCCCAGAAAGAAGTTGTGGGTTATCGAAAAATATACTTGATTTTTTTTATGTACGCACAGGAGCGATTTGTCTGGTGTGCTGCATAATCTCTATGGCCTTCGCTCATGGAGCTGGTAGTTACGTTTTCGTGCTGTTCGACAGCTTCAGTGGAAACTTCCCGTTACTCATAATCGCATTTTTCGAGTGTATAGCAGTGTCCTATGTTTACGGCTTGAAAAGGTATATAAATATATACCGGATAAAATTGATACGATAAAAAATACTCCTCAGAAATTCGAAGATATCGACAAGTTGGGACGCATTTCAGATTTGCTGACGACATTGAGTTGATGACCGGCAATCGGCCTGGTCTCTACTGGCTGATATGCTGGAAGTATCTCAGCCCATTGGCGATGCTGAGTATCCTGATTGCGTCCTTCGTTGAGATATTCTTCGAAGGAAGCGGTTATCCGGCTTGGGTAGCGAGTAAAGGCATCACGGAGAGACATGAATGGCCTATCTGGGCTATGGTTTTGATTGCGATTCTCATTCTCACCTCTGTTTTGTGGATACCGGCAGTTGCTATTTGCAGGTTGGCACTGACATTCAGTGAGAATATTTCATCATTTCTACAAGCGTTTATTTCATCTTCAAATGAATCTTTTTAGATACTTTGGAATTCTTATTATTGACGACAACGAAAAAGCTTGGTTCCCCGCGGCGGACTTGAAGGAGTTTCACGGAATTATGCCACACGAAGTAACAACGGCTGAGACATTGCTGTTTTGCATCAGAAGCGACGGTTCCGAAGGGCTGTGCTGTCCTACGGGCGGTTCCAGCGACGATGAGGACGAGGATCTCACCTAGGATCGATCTCGATCGCGACGCGCGTTTCCGTGGATTATCTCGACTCGAGAAATGCTCCACTTTATTCTATGACGACCACTCGCGACCGTACATTCTTGGTCAAAAGTGGCTGTTATCCGTTTTGGTGAACTCGGTCGAATCGTAGTAAACGCATCCGCGTGGTAGGATCTTATCTTATCTATTGTGTCAATTAACGTATAAAAGCTTCGGCGTCGTTAGGGGTCGTTTTCTTCACGGCGCAAAAAGACGGAGATACATTTTGTGAACTAGATTTATTTTATTTGTTTCTTCTCCTCCCTAACTTCAACAGTTATTAGTTGTTGGATACAAAGTTTCTTTTCAAAGTTTGAAACTTCTCTGATTAACAAATCTATATACATCAAGTGTATCTGCAAGTAACACTGATAAAGGAGCGAATTTTGAGAATGATCCTGAATGCATCTCCGTCTGAGAGATATAGTGCGTTTGCGACTTTGAGTTTCTTTTAAGTGACTTTATAAAATTAGCTTTCGAAGCTTCGCGGATACCAAAAACTATTACGCAATCGTCTGCACGAGCAATTTTCGAGCGAGCGGCATAATCGCGCGTCGCGTGGACGGAAACGAGAAATAGGGCGATCTTTTGCGGAAGGATCTCCCAATTATACAAGTTAATATGATGAAACATTTACTCTTTAGTGATTGCGATTACCGTCAGATTTAATAAGATTAGCGGTAGGAGCCGTCCAGTGGACTTGGGTGGATGTGCCCGAAATGTTTTAGATAGATAGCGTTGGATCAGAACATTCGGATCCTTAGATCCGCGAATATTTGATAATATATTCAATACTTCAAGACTCGACAGGTTTGTGGATCTGTTAACCGCACTATGAATAATTGAAAATTTAACAAAAGTATAAGATAACAAAGGTACTTAAAAGCGTACAAAACTCTGTAGAATCTAAGAATTTTCAAGAATATTAAAATATCTAAGTGTCCAAGGATGTGTCAGATCTAAGGATCCAGGAATTTACGGATGGATCGTGGATTACAATAACGTGTGACAATAATTTAGGCTAAAAAAAAATACGATAAAATTATTGACAATAAATAATCGGACTAAATTATGCTTGACAATAAACACTGACTGACGTCGCGGAATGCGACGTGCGAGAAACAAAGTTAGAGGAGACAAGATTGATTCGACAGAATTAAGTGTTTCTTTGAACGAAGAGGAGATTATCATCCTGGCCACGTAGGTTACTCAATTAATTAGTTTCTCGTAGGTCAATTATTATTCTGTTTCCAAGCCTGTTGCGCGTGTTCAACTTCGACCTGTGACATATAAATGCAAAATATTACATATATTATATATAAACATATATATACACACATACATATATATTATCAAAACTAGATGTATCAAAGTGAATGTATTGTTGTATTTGATCAGAGAAATCAGACAAAAATTCAGGTCGAAAATGAACATTGAAGATGTCTCTATATCTTCCATGTGAAACACATTCTTGTTCAAAACCTTTCTCTTTTGTGACAATACTCAGATGGCCTGATATATCTTCCGATGATACTTCGAAACTCAACTCTTTGCACTCTGAATACCTTTCCGTAAACGAAAACTGATCGATATTTATTTTATATGTCGACAATGTTATCATATCTCAAGATAGAAGAACTTCCTGCAGTAATACATACAGCAATACAAATACGAGCTTCTTGCTCCGCTAGATTTACAAATGTGATTTTATATAGACACACATATTATAAAACGAGATATTGCAGTGCAAAGAGTTAACGAGTTAATGACTAATCGGTTGTGGAGAGTATTCGCCTAAAACGTACAAATGTTAGTATCGACAATAAGTAGAATTTCGTTTTTTTTTTCGAGTTATTTACATATCAGTAAGCAAAAAACACACGTAACTGCGTTAGCAATCGAGTATAAATTAGTTAAGCAAATAAGTAAAAAAATTGAACAATGACAATATATAGATATCATCAAAATGATGAACAAAATTGATCATATCAGTTAATTGATGAGGGGAGACAAATCATATTTCGATATCATATCATTTGTTACAACGTATGTACTAGTTTTTTATCTCGTATACTCGCTCGTGAACCACAGAATTTATTGTTAACAAGTTATATAAATGCATTTTATCTTGATTTAGAAATTTATTTTTTTATCTATATTTTCTAGTGAATACTCTGTACATGTATAGTATAGTACTCTATACATGTATTCTTTTTGTGAACAATCCTCTATTTGACATATCTGAATTTTAAATGTTTTAAGACACAATTCGGATGTAATTAAATATATTGAAAAATAAAAAAAAACAATCTATAAAAAAAAAAAAAAGGATAGTAGTTCTCGTACGATCACAATGACTGCTGTAGTAAATTATTGAAGCTACATTGAGAGTGATCTACTTTATCAAACTTTTGTTAATCGTACACATTGTTGATGTAGCTTGCGCAATAACTGAAATAATTTACCGACTACGCGCGAACGGTAATTATATATATAATTACGTATATGATTGCGATACATATATACACTAATCTTGCGTATACGTAAAATTGTAAATATATATATATACACAAACATATATAAATATATTGTTGTCAGTTGAATGTTAAAATAAATACCTTGAGTGGATTCAAATCTCTTTACTATTAACACTAAAATCATAAATAATATTTTTATGAGAAATGAGACACAAGTCACAATTTTCTTGATAAAATAAATAATTTATTTTTATACTGAAAACAATAATCATATATACCACGCTATGTTATATGAGCGATTATCATAACAATTTGATTCGAGAAGTGATATATTAAAACTTTCAATTCACTTTTGAACTATCAACTAACCTTTTAATTTCATTCATTTATATGCAACCGCTTTTACAATACGAAGTTTCTATAAATTCTGTAAGTTAATATATTCGAATTTTAAGTGCGCAAATAACAAAATAACAAAAAACATCTTGATTAGTAAAAAATCAATTACATATATATATATATATAGCACTTATAGAAAATTAATCAGTTTTGTAAGTTTTTATTGTTACACTAAGTTTTATAGCTAGAATACTTACGTCCGAAAACTTCCATGACTTTTCAACATACGGTATGTTTCAGAGAAATATTTAACGGTAACAAAATACTTAATCCTTTACAAGTACATATATATCCTACTATTTTACAGCTTTGAGATTTCTTTTTTTTTCAGACATCTTTCTCTACAGCTTTTTTCGTATTCGCATTTTCCATTTTTGCCAAGAATCGTCTTAAACCTATATTGGCAGTAAACTACATTTCCCATATCAGTAATGTAAGGCCCACTCGTTTTCCTGTAAGAAAGTATCGACCACTTCCTTCATCGCCAAGTTCGGTATTAACTGATCCTGCGTTAAACGCACACGTGTAACCGGATCAAAATGGCCGACCCGTTGAAGATGCTCCTCGATATCTTTCCGCTCGTACGTGATCCCGCTGGGTGTGATTACCGGTTCCTGCAGAATCTCGAAGCTAATCTTGCCGCACAAGTAATCAGGCACTTCTCTTTTCTGTAAAACAATTTGTTTACGTAAAGAATAACGAACATGTGAAAAATAAATTCAGAGATTTCTTTTAAAAGTGAAGAGAAAGCAACGAGAAAACACACTCTTCTTCTCTCGTCGACTTTAGCAAAGAGATCGTTGAGATGTGATATACAGGTATCTCTCTTCTCCTCAATTTCTTCCTTTTTCCTAGCAAATTCCGTCGAGTTTGTTTCAGTGTCAGATTCCTTTTTTGTCATTTCCTGCTCCTGCAGAGCTTCCAAGTTATGTTTTGCATCATCTATGATCAGTTGGCTTAGATACGTTTGCAACTCGATATCTTGGGCGATCCTTTGTTCCTCTCTCACTTGAAATCGACGCTTACGAGCTTGTCGTAGTACACTAGTAATGTCGTCGCCATAATTCAGCTTCTGCTCCTTTGCCAAATCCACAGCTATGCCATACAAAATATAATATTCAAAAGAGAAGAACTTTATGTGACACAAGTATAATTCTTGTGAACAAATGATGTGACTACCTCTCTGCAAATGCTTCACAGCTTCATCAAACAGTTCCAATTCTAGCAGCGCAAGACCCAAGAAGAAGTGGCCTTTCATCAAACAAGGATCTATGTCCAAGGCACGTCTGCAGTCTTTGCATACAGATTCCCATTGCTTCAGCTTCAAATGACACAGCGCTCGATTCGTAAAATACAATGCTTGGTCTGGATTTTTTATCTGCAACAAAAATAACAAGTTACACTGTGTTACCAACTGTGTTTGTTTTTCTTTCGTTTGACGAGCTCGCAATAAATTCATTTGTCAAACAAATGTTCGAAGTGCAAACATGTAATTTATTTCACCTTAAATTCAAAATTTCTCTGTTCTTTTCAAAATTTAGTTCGAACTTCAAGCGCTAGAAACATCATGAGATTTGCCATATGTATAGATTACTGCAATGATTTACGAAATTTAAAACAAAAACTACTTTGCTGCGTAACAACATAAACAAATGTAAGGCACGTTGGATCCAACAAATTCGATTAGCGCGATGTGTTAGTTAAAGAAAAGCGTATCAACCCAACTTACGATCGCTTTCGTGTAGCAATTGGCTGCATCCTCGTATTTGTGCAGATTAAAGAGACGGTTCCCCTGTTCTTTGAGCTCTTTGTCGGACAGGTTCGCCGTCGAATACATCTTACTCATGGTGGCGGTTAATAATGTTTCCTCGCACTACATGCACAATATATTAATTGTTACCTTTAAAGCAACTTCGTACAAGTACGCGATCTCTCTCTCTCTCTCTCTCTCTCTCTGTTTCTCTTTGTTTTAACCTCAAACAAATAACCAATTTTTCATTTTTTTCTTTTATACTGCGACGCAAGGGTAAATGAAGGCAAACCAAGACAAAATGCGGTCGTCGAAGCTTGCACTCCGATGCGAACGTCATCTTGAGGATGGTTTGAGAGTTTTGTTTAATTTGACTAAACTAATACTGTTCTGTTATCCTGATCTGGAAGGTTACTTACACAAGATAACGTCAAAATAGTCGTCAAATAATTAGCGGATGCGCCGCAAGATGACAGTTTATGCATTACGAACATGAATTCGAACGGAATAAGAGCGATGTTTTCTGTAAATAGTGATATTTTATTACTAGCACAACACAGGCGCGCGCTACGCGCACGCTATTGTTATTTTTATTTAATTTATATTTATTTAATTTATATTTATACATACATTATATATATATATATATTAATTTATATTTATACATACATTATATATATATATATATATATATATATATATATACCGTAATCACGTCACCAAAGTCAGTAACACCGCCGCGGTCGCGCGGCCGAGGTCAGTGACTCCATCACAGTCGCGTGACCGAGGTCATTAACCCCGCCGCGGTCGCGCGACCGAGGTCAGTAACCTCCCCCCACCAAGGCCGCGCGGCCGAGGTCAGTGACCCTGCCAAGGCCGCGCGGGCGAGGTCAGTGACCCCGCCAAGGCCGCGCGGCCGAGGTCAATGACTCCGCCAAGGCCGCGCGGCGGAGGTCAGTGACATTACTCTGTAGTATGTATATAATACATATAATACAATATAAAGTATAATATTATAAATATATAATAAATTATATGTATCACATATGTATTATTTAATGTTATATATAATATAAATTACAGTCACGTTATTTTCACGTGTTGTTTTTCTACTCTTTCCTGTCACATGACTTTAGTTAAGTTTTTAATTTTCTCTACATATACGACGAACTGTCTCAAAATCGCTTTTTATTATTTACTCTCTCGATCTTACCAATTCGATTCGACTCGATCAACCAACCAACCAATCGGCAACGCGGAAAAGAGGCAACAATAGGTGCGATATATCTGATTATTTGCACACGCTTTTTCTGGTAAGCAAAAATAAATATTATTGTTAAATCTATTAAATAAAAATATTCACGTCGGATCTTGTGTTTACGACCGTCTCTGAATTCATGGGCTGGGAATACTGTGACCATAGAAACATTTTTATATTTAATCACCTAACTGCAGAACTTGTTAAATCATTTAAAAAATTTGTCAAAAAATGGAACAGAAAAAAAACAAAGCAAACTCTTTTTTCTTCTATATTTCTTTTTACGTTTTTATACGAGCTTGATACAATTTCTGCGCGTAAACGAATCGATATCATTGCAACATCGAAATAAATGTCAACGATAGAATTTAAAGACACCAAAGATATTTCATTTTTCTGTCCTCGCTCTCTTCCGAAGAAAGCGCCTTTGAATTTGCACGATTTTCTCATAATGGGATTCGCGTATCATAATACCGAACGCGATGCATCATACGAAGAGCGGTCTCGCGTCTATTCGACGCTCAATATCGCGTCTCAGGAACTCGGCGCCGTAATTTGTCAGCCATTCAGTTTGATAACAATATGGATCCGATACCTACGTAGTGGTTGTAGGGTGCGGAGACCGTGAGACTCGAAACTTCGTGGCGTTGGCCGGCCGGCTGGCTTAGAGGGAAAATTGTGACCTAGTTTACTTCATTCGTTTACTCGTTCTCTCGTTCGGAGCCGATTCCTTCGTATTCTTCCTCCGCGTCGCGGAGAAGCGACGGGAGAAAGTTGGCCAGAAGCGTTTCTCCCGGCTACGGTTTCTCGGTGACAAATTGAAATTAGAAGTAATCGCGTTAGCGAGTTGTTAACGAAACTCTCTCGCGAGGTTGATCGAATACCATCCGACTGTTCTTCTCCATCGGTTGAACGAAGGTCTATCGAAGGAGACGTCCGTTCGCCTCTTACATACGGAGAAATTCAGCTGGTGCAAGCGCGATCGCGCGCGGGAGCCGCAGGAACGGCCAAGATTTATTAGACATTCGAATTAGTTCACACGCTATTAATCCCGGATTGCACGACGACGACGACGACGACGGCGGCCTCGTTCATCCCTCTGAACTCGGTCTGGTCGTCATCGAGACCTAACCATTGACCGCGCCACGCCCTTGCCGTTTACGGTTCGTCTGGAGGCTATTAAGTGTGTCGATTCGGATTACAGCGGATTACAACGTGGATCAGATCCTCATCAATGTGTTGAAACAATTATTCCGGATCTTCCGCAAATACATATTCGAATCCGTTTGTGACACTCCGTTTAAGAACTAATTTCAAAAACACAAGCGGAAGACTTTGGCTAGTATTTTTGTAACATAAAATATACCGAGACAGTTGTTGTAGTATCGAAATAATGAATAAAACATTGTTCTAAGAACTCGTTCCAATTCTCGTTGATTGATTTGTTGATCAAGAAATTGATGTACAAACGCGAGTTAGATGCACGCGCAAAAACCCACGTCTTGCAAATTTACACATTCGCAAATCTCGACGTGTTCGCAGCTCGGCAGCAAGCTTATCCATTTGACCACCACGAGACGACGTATGGATGGTCGACACACGTGTTATTAAACGGTATGACGAGAAATTATGGTCGTTGGCGTCGCATGCGACAGAAATGACCCGTGGTGTGCACACGTCGAGCCAATGGCTCGGTCGAAAATCCTTGCGCGATTACGACAAAATTACTCAATCCGATGGTAATCTGGTGAATTACACGTCGAAGTAACGGTCCGCTAAAGAAGGTTTATATGCGGGGGGGGGGAGGTGCTTGACGGTTCGGAGTCGCGGGAGGCCTTTAAGAAGAACGAGGTATGCTTTGCGCTCACGCTATGGCGGGCACATAAATATCCCCCTTTGGCGAGCCACACATCCGCGAGACATCCGCGCGGCGCACGAGACGCACAAGGGGTTGCCCACATATAGGCGCGCTCGCTCGCGTTATGTATGCCGCCGTACACGGCGGACTATGCTGTATTATCATTTCTTACGGTCTCCAGACACGCCAAGCCAAAGCCAGGCCGAGCTCGATTTTCACCCGCGCGCATTTCCTAATGTCGGAATTTCGTATAAAGGGGTAGCCGCGCGCGCGCGGAGAAGAAGGAGGATTGGTAAGGGGCGGGGGATGCATGCGCGTTATTATTCGTACTCGGGCGCGAGTAACGTGCATGCACCATGCACTCTCCTAATGCGCGTTTCTCGTCGCACCTGGCGCGTGACGCCGCGGGGATTTCTTCTATTCTTGTTTGTCGTCGGAATCTCTCGAGAGAGAGTGTCGCTTTGAAAAAAAAAAAAAAAACTTGTAGCTTGTGGAAAGTTTTCAAGTTGATTTTTATCGCGAGTCTGAGCAAGTGATATTTCATTGATTTCGCAATTGCCGTTTCGACGAATCCGACTTTTTTATTTTTATTTTTGTTTACCATCGAAATCTTAGCCTCGATTGTTTACGCGATTATATCGCTCCGAACGAACTTGCGGTAGCAAGAACTTCTCCCAACGGAGCGTTTTTTTCTCGCGTAATTCACTTGTCGATATTTTATAATCAATTTACCGATGCGCGAAACTAATTTTATACTTCCGTTATTTGTTGATTATCGGTATCTCATCTTGGTCTTTATGCGATTATTACTCTGAACTTATCTATAAACAAATTTCAAATCAATCTCTTGTCGAAATTAAATAATCGTGTTTGACGTAGTTTGCTTGCGAAGAAATCAATTACACTGAGTGAGAAAGAGAAATAAAATTTAGTCTTTCGTCGGGAGAAGATCTGATAACATATCGATATTGGAATAGTCATGTCTACTTTTAGTTCCTTCTGTATTTCATATCAGAGAGAGAGAGAGAGAGAGAGAGCAATTTCTTAGAAATATATTTTATTAATAAAGCATCCTCCAGCAAAGTGATCGGCCAAGTCGATAAATTGAAGAAAATTGGACACGCCACGGGTCTTTTAGAAATGGACGCACGTGAATATAGATTTTCCTCTTCCTATATAAGCCGAGAAAAGGAATTGATATTCAAGACGGAAGGATGCACTCGCATCTCTCTTCGCGGAAGGAGCCGGGTATATACGCGCGCATCGCGTATATGTTGGGAATATTCTAATTTAATATCGAACCCGTCCGCTTTCGAAGCTTCAAGTGCCAATCGAGATTTCCTTACGACTCGCGAACGTTTCATATTCTATTAACTTTCCGCTCATCCATTTCTTTATACGTTTGTGTGTTTTTCTCTCTCTCTCTCTTTCTCCCTTTTTCTCTCTCTTCTTTTGTTTTTTATTAATATTTTTTTTTAACAGATCGACAACAGGGCAGTTTTAAATATTTTTTTAACGCCGGTTTTGTTCATCGATGATGTTCGTCGTAAGGCTTGCGTAACACGAACATGATTTTGTCATTAAGCGAGACACACCAAACGAGAACGAAAGAGGGAGTCATTCTCAAATTCCCATTCACGGCATAATATGCGATAAATAATTTAATTTACACCAGATGAATGCGTCCGACAGTCCCAAAGCTGATATATTAATCGGATTAGAGCAAATTGACGAAGCAGCGCACGGACAGATTGATTTCTACCGGTAATTGCTTTCACATCCCCCATGTAATTGAGATATAAGTTCGCAATTCGATGAACAAAATGCGCACGCGCGCTGCTGATTGAAATCGATGAAATCCTCAATAATTTTTTACGCAACATAGTTTACATCGCGAATTAAAATAACGTAACGCGCAAATGCAATTTTTTCCGTCCAAGAATATTGTTTAATATAAATTGTTGTAGTGTTTTAACCGACGATACGCAAAATTGTATTTGCGATTCTTCGTAATCGTCGTTAATATTGATCATTAATATTGATCATTAATATTGATTAAACTGTGCGCGCGTATTTAATATTATTTTTAAATATTAACAAATATTTATATTATCAGAGAGGAGAGATGTGCGCGCTTCGTTTTATTGCCATTTGAGGTTTGTTGTATAACAATTTCCTGTTTTGCCAGAGATATATCTGCAATTCGCGTAGCTGGATTTATAAAATCGCGCGGAGATAGACGGGAGTTACTCTCTCCGCTGTTGATTTGATATTTCAGTTTAATATCTGAATATACGTGCGCGCGCGCGCGCGCGCACGTCGGTTATGCCAGATCGGCGAGGGGATATCACAAGTGGACCGGAATATCAACAATCGTTTTCATCGGCGAATAGAAATATCTGCCGTATCCACATGCAACGGTATGGATTTATTCAATAGACAAGGGATATTTAATAGAACGATCAAAGCCATTCCGCTGCAAAGCTGACCGTGCTCTTTGATTGTTGCTCCAAAACGCATCGCTACACAGAGATTTCATCACGCGAAATAGAAAAATCGAACGATCTCTTTCCCCCTCCCTCTTCCCGAACATCCCCGGGGCTGACTATTACTCTTACGTTACTCTACATCGATGAAGTTGCGCACGTGCTGTTTTTCCTAAATAATTTGTAACCGCGCGTTACTACACTACGAACTACGAGAAAACGAGGGAGCTCGCGGAATTGCTAAACATGAAAATAAATTCCAACTTATATAACGGGAATATCGCATCGCGAGTTCGACGCAAAATAATATCACGATAAATCCGAGACAAAAATATCGAAGTACATCATATACGATCGATGTTTTATTTTTTTACCTGCTGATTTTATGATTTGTTATTTTATATTTAATATCTTTATCATTGACGACGAAGAGACAAATCGATGTGTTAGCGCGCGCGCGTATAAGAATAAGAACCTGTTTTTTGAAGGATTCTATTACGTGCGAGAAAATGTACACCGCTACGCTCTTACACACAGATAACGAATTTCGCTTGTCACGCTTGTCACGGCGCCGGGCTACTTACTCGACTTGTATAATTATTCGATACCGTCGTTGTCGACGACGGGAACTTAGCAATTCCAGAGGGAGCGCGCGTGTTGCAATGCCCGGGGTAAAATTTCTTGACGGTTCGAAGAGACGAGGGACGCTACTGAATATCAATGTGGAGGAGCTTGTCTCACCGGTCGCAGTCTGGAAGACCGGACCAATCGATTTCCCCGAGCGGGTTTCGGGGACAACGTACAGTTTTCTCTCACATTAAAGTGATGAGATTCGTGCTGTTTCATCCTCCATGTCGGATGTTGTTCATTCCTCTCGGATTCCCAAAATGTAACGTCACTTTTGGTGGATACGTTTACACGTCAGAACGTCATAAAACATGAAAAACAATCGATATCATATTTCCCAGGTTGATCCAGTTTCCAGGTAAAAGTGTATAAAAGTTTCACAACTTTTATAAACGATTTTTATAAATAACATCACATTTATGTATGGTACACATATGTGTGAAATAAACTTAAAATGTGTGTGTATGTATGGTAACACATAGAGTGAATAAAATGCTAATTAAAAAATAAACGTTAATAAAAACGCTTGAATTACAAATTGCAATACAGCCGATAAAAATACATCGTAAATAAGTAGAATGCATATAAAAAAAAGAATAGAATGCGTATAAAAAACTAACAAACAGTAAAAAAATATACTCGGATATGCGCGTGTGTGGCAATGTTGTTGAGAAATTCTACTTGAGAGATAATATTCTAAAGGTAATTAAATCGAGATATATGTGAAATTAATTAAAAATCGATAATCGCGTCGTCATATAGCAGACGAACGAACAGCTTAAACCGCCTGTACGCATTTGTGCGCAATTCGGGCCACATTTCGTGGCTGTTTAAATCACATCGAAATTTCTCCGCGTTATTCGACGAAGAAGAGCGGAAGCATCGTCGACGGCAGCACGGTTAACGCGCTCGTGCAAATAGCGCGCGCGAGCATCAATTTCATCGCAGCTTCGCGCGAAAATATTTGCTCCAGCAACAGCGCGAGACTGTTAAAAACAGGAGCCGGTCCATGCAAACAATGGTGTAGCGCGATATTACGCCGATGTTTTTTCTTCATCGCAGCCGCGCGCGAAAACGTTGAATCAGTGCGAGCGGAACATTTGCTTAATGTAGAGCCGCTTGCCGCAGAGAGTAATCGCCGCCGGCCGATGTTAACGGTGGCCGTCTGTGTATGTATGTGTGTGTTGCGATAAAACTGCGAATGGAATCACAATTCTCCTGTTTCTCATCGCTTTCATCTTTTTTCAGATTTTTCAATGTTTGAATATGTCCGTGCATTTCCTGTTCGTGCAATGTATCTGGATGAAAGATACTCTCTAGTTTGTATTATTGATAAGATAAGACTCGCGAAGTGAAGAAAGAGCAACGATAGGTACATATGAAAAAAAGATGTGTACTAATGTTGAATCAGAAATTAACTTAATGTTTGATTAAAATTTAATATTAAACGCACATTGATGGATGTATTTCTTGAAGCATCAATAATCTACTAACATAAAGCAATGTACAATATAATAAATGTCACTTTGGATGTACATCAATATGTGTAGTTTTAATTTTTTATAATCTACTAGAAAAATTTTACATATGTTTTTTAAATTGTGTGTCGTGAAACATAACAAAAAAAAAAATAAATAAATAATAGTTTGTATCGATTTCCCGAGATATGTGTTATTCATACGTAGATAACTTTGTTTTCTCATTTTAACTTCGTCAAAAACTATGAATATTGATTCATATGATAGTTCACTAATAATATTTTTGACCAGAACAACGGCTTGTATATATGTATATAAGTTATTTAAAAACTTCAATTTTTAAAAACGTCGTCTGAATTTCTTAAAAGTGAAATGTTGAAGAATTTTGTGAATATATGATTACTCTCACGTCACGAAAATGCAAATATTGATTTTGCACTATCTAACTTTGATAATGTCACTTACGTTCTATTAGAACGTCTAAAATTCGGAGTCATTTATTTCGTTAATTTATTCAGGCTTAACAAACTCGTTCATATATTCAATAAAAGTATTGTAGCGTACATGAAGTATATAAAAGTGTATAAAAATACTATAGTGTGTACGTGAAAGTAACGTAACGTTTTTTTATTTATCTGTTTTTAAAATTTAACTGTCTTTTCTTCAGTAAAATATGCAGATGATAAATTTGGGGTGAACATTTTGTCAGTGTGGAACGAATCTGAAATGAAGAACAATTTTTAACGAGTCAAGGCCGTTGTACATGTGACGATGATATCTTTCTTTTCGCAATACACATCGTCATAAATTTCATAGTATAATCCGTATTTGATTTAGGCTACATAATGTATGTATGTCTTGATGTTACACAAGCAGAATGACTGGTTTAAGCGCAAATATAGGAGGCAGAACGTTCCCGTGGCATCTTAGTTCAGCAAGATCGCGGAATCGTTTCTGATTAGAGCTCCGGGTAAGAAAGAACTCCACCGAGATGAGAAAACACAACGACGCCGAGAAAGGAAAATACACAACGCCGGAGGGCTCGAAGACCTGGGAGTACCTGGCCGCCTTCAGTTGTAAGAGCAATCTCGCAAGAACAAAAAAATCAACGCGATAGTTTTGTTGCGACGTTTCGATCATTATTTCCCCGCGAGTCGTCGCACGATCAATCGAATATCACGATTACGTGATGCAATTTTCTTTGAAATCTATCTAGGTTCGATCATGGCAATGTGCATCGGCGCGATAGTAGGCTGGAGCTCGCCGAGTCTCGTGAAGCTGATGGAACCGGACTCGCCGATCCAGGTCACCACCTCCGATCTTTCCACGTTGGTGGCCCTGGTCCCACTCGGCAAAATTTGCGGACCGCTCATCAACCGGTTCATTGTCGACAGAACTGGCCGGAAAAACGCCGTACTAGTCGGTGGCGCGTCGTCGATTGTCTGCTGGGGTCTGACTACGATCGCGACCAACATTTGGGTACGACCAAGATATTTGTAAAAATTATTAAAATTTTACAAAACCAATTAATTCTTCGCGTTAAAATTTAGTGGATAAAATAACTGCGCGTAACTTTGCAAATTTGTTTCCGAAGGTCCTTTTCGTGGCGAGAGTGATGGGCGGTCTGTGCCTTGGTGTGCATCTGAGCGTATCGACGATTTACATAGGCGAAATTGCGTCACCAAGCACGCGAGGCGCCGCAGGATCGTCGTTCCCGATCATGCTGAACGTCGGTCTTCTTCTAATATACATCATCGCGCCTTTCCTCTCGATATCAATGAACGCGGTCGTCTGGCTGACCATTTCCGTCGGTTTCGTGGTGATTTTCTGGTTCATGCCAGAATCGCCATACTTCTTGGTCATGAAGGGCAGAGTGGACGAGGCGGAGGCGGCGTTGGAAAAGCTGCGCAGCAAGACGGACGTTTCGGAGGAACTGCAAGTGATCGTTGAGGCGGTGTCCAATAACGAGAAGGAGCAGAAGAGAGGTGGCGTCAAAGAGCTGTTGACCGTGCGCGCCAACCGTCGGGCCTTTATCATTCTCAACCTCATGTCGTTCACTAAGTTCATCGGCGGTCTCTTCTTGACCCTCACCTACGGTCAGCTTGTGTTCAAGTCGGCGCAGCTGCAAACATTGTCCGAGCACACGGTCAACATCGCGATCGGCGCGGTGTCGTTGATCAGCTCGATAATCATCTCTTTCTTGGTCGACAGGCTGGGTCGCAGGCCGCTGATACTCTTCTCCGGCATCGTCGCCGCGATGTCGAATCTCGCGATCGCCCTTTTCTTCTACGCGAAGGATTATCTGAAAATGGACGTGTCCGCGTACTCGATCGTGCCGGTGATAGCGGCGGTGATGCTGGTATTTGCCTTCAACTGCGGCTTGTTGCCTATGCAACTGGTCCTGTCGTCCGAGATCTTCGCCACCGAAGTCAAGGCGTTGGCTAACTGTCTCGTGACAATTATAAACGGTGTTCTTACCATGATAGTGGCTAAGATTTATCTTCTGGTGGTCGTCACTTGGGGCTACGGCTTCTCGATACCTTATTTCGGGTTCTTCATGGTTGTGACGATGTGCACTATCGGGGTCCTCCGTCTCCTGCCGGAAACGAAAGGCAAGACCTTTGTGCAGATACAAAAGGAGCTGAACGATTGAAACGGCCCGAAGAGGAGCGAAGAACGACGCGTTTCCGGAGATCAGGAGACTACCTCTATTGGATTCCGCGGGAGAGCATATTGCCAATCGTAAATTACGCGTCTTAAAGAAAGATAATTCGCGCGCGCTGGCATAAGAGATCGTCGAGGAAAATCTCGGTCGTCGAACACGCTCGATCGACGTGAAAAAAAAAAAAAAAAAGAAAATTGAAGGTCGAAAAAGGTTGTCCTTTAGAATGCATGAGCGAACAAATTGTAGGGCAACAGTCGTCGGAACGTTTGCACGCGAACGTTTGATGCACGTTACGTTTTTACGCGTTTGCCGTGTCACGAGAATTCGAAGAAAAGTAGACGTCATATCGATTCTCTCCTCGTCGACAGACTGCGAGTATCGTTTGCGCGTCTCTCTCGAGCCGTGAAATAATAAACCTTGCCGATGCAACGACGTCGAGTAACAGCAAAAGTAGAACGACGGCGATCAAGATGCGACCTGTGTGTTGCTCTAAACCGGTCTCATAAAAATCGTACATTTCGTACCTTGACAAGTGCGATCTCGCGATAGCGAAAATCTCTCTGTACCTCGGGACAGTTTTGATGAATCGTCCGGTTAACTCCGTACGCGTATCGCGTGCCGGAGATCGATTCGCGGAGAGAAAAAATACGTTCAAACATCACGTGTGCGCTTAGAACTTAAAAACACAGAAACGCAGAAATGAATGGAGAGATAAGCGATAAGATCGAACAATCGCGAGTTTATCGGCGTTTGCGTGAATAACTGCGTGAATGACGATTAAATTATTCAATGTGCGAGTAATACAAGCAGAAGAACGACTGATAGTATGTTTCAATGTATATTTATTTATTTTACGTACGTACTACAGTCTGATTGGAAATATAATAAATCAAGTAATTTTGCGACACTCTTTTTTGATTCACAATTAGTGAATGATGTTTATTTATCCACTTTCTAGAAATTCTTTTTACCAATCAGTAAATCGAGATTTATGACAATTGATAAAAGACTTTTATAAACGGACTTTTATAAACGAGGCGAGGCTGATTTCGCTCGGTTTAGATTGAATTGTTCTTCGAGAAACGAGATAAAAAGAGTTTTGCCGTTACTTAGACGAAAATCAATCATTGCGGTTCTTTTCGCTATCGACGTATCGAAAAAAAGCCCATTAGGTGTTTAATGCCTCTACCTACGCGGAAGAAGGAAGTGTTAGAAGGAAACAGAAGGAAAAGATAGAGAGAGAGAGAGAGAGAGAAAGGAAGCGCGAACGGAAAATTGCACGAGCAGAGGAGAACCCTTGCGGAACGCCGGAAGAGGAAAGTTTCTCGCTCTCTTAATATCTGAGAATCACTATTCAGTCTTACAGAAATTGCTATTGGCAGAACCATTAGAGGCTGGAATTAGTTTCGCGTTTTCCGGATATCTGGCGGCCGCGTGGGAACGCGCCGCGTAACGGCCGCCGCCACGGCTCACTTATCTTACTTCCATACCTCGCATTAATACTTTCCGCCAACTCCATTTGCCCGTATTTTGGAGAGAGCCTGTTTTCAAAAACTGTGAATCTCCGATGCGCACTCGGCGCGCCGCGATCGATCTCTCTGCGCTGCTGTTCTGTTCAAACTCGGCGAAAAGCGCGAAGATAATGCGCATAGAAAATATTGAAAACGCTATTGCACGCAGTTGTAATTCACACAGCGTGTATAAAATGTGACGTTCGATTAAAATACTCGAATCTTTTTCAGAAAGTAAATGCGTGCAAAATTCAATGTGAATTATGACAATCGCGCGATTTCTCCGATTGTCTCCAAAGTGACAAATTATTTACGTAAAGTTGACATTTCATCTTCGGATCTTCACTTTCTCTCCGAACTGTTCTACAGAACGCATCTCGGAATTTGCAAAAAAATTGCACAGAAAATGAAATTTACGCAGATCGTGCGAGCGAACGCTATATTCTGTCTATTATCCTTGCTCAAGTTCCGGTCATCAGAGACTCCTTGGTAATTCTAGCGCAAATCGGTGGCGCGACAAGCAGCCATCGTGAACGCGCATCCTGGTTGGACAAACACAGATATCCAGCGTACGCGCAGCCTATGCACGTCACCAAACTAGCCTCCCTCCCCCAACCAACACGAGTGCCGTGTCTGCATTCGGGAAACGACAGAGCCCCCGATACGCTGTACATACAATTGTATCATCAAGGTAAACACACGGACGATAGCCGTCGCCACGCATACACCCGCGCGCAAACACCGTTCCGCAAACAGCCTCGTGGCGTCATGAAAGCGTCGATACTCCGCATAATACGGTGCATCCCTCCGCTTTAGCGACGCGCTTCCTCGGGGGACAATCTTTTTACCCTCCGTCTCCGGATTCCGCAACTCGATTGCGACCGAGTTTTACGTTGTAAGATTGTTAAGGGGATAAGAGTCATTCGTTGCGGATCGAAAGAGGCGGTGACGACGACGACGACGACGACGGAAGGACAACATCCTACTGAGTGTCGGAGAATTTCACCGTCTCGCGATGAAAGTCATCTCCGGAGATAGATCGGAGGACCTTGTTAGCCACGTCGTCCGCTCCGGGCGTTCGTTCTTGCGCTCTCGCCGTTTACGTCCGATATAAAAATAAGGAACATTAAATACTTCATTCGGCGGCGGAAGATCATTCCCGAAGTGATTTCACTCCGCTGACGTTTACGACGAGTCTAAAATAAGAACGAGTAAAAATCGATTACGCTTCTTCGCGTGTGAGGGCGGAGAGAAAATATAATTTTACAAAAAGAAGAAAAAGAAAGAGAGAGAGAGAGAGAGTTTTGATGAAGTCGCGACGCGCTCAACACAGCTTCCGTCGACACCGTCGCTACAACTTTCTTCATCTGTTTCCACAAAGCCTCTCGGCAGAGACTTCTGTAAAAAGTTTCTTCTCGAACCGAGCAAAATAATAATAATAATAATAAAAATAATCACGTACATTTAATTAATACGCGATAGTCATGTAAAATCTCTGCAACAATAAAAAAACTTCCGCGCTGTCAAATGTGTATGAGAACATAAAGTGAATTGTACTCGCGACTTCTCCGCGCGACAATCGTAAAAAAGAGCGGGCGAGATTAAAACGGTTGTCATGTTACAGCGGAAATCTTGCGCGGAGGCATTTTTAATCGTGTGTGCAATGTGTATACGATTAAAAATAACACATTTATTCAAAACGTGCTCTGCGTGCTTTCGGGGTCTGGCGCAAATTGTGCGCATTAAAATAATTATGTGACACTGTGGGCAACGGGAAACGTCGCGTGCGCGCGCGCGCGCGCGCAATTCACTCACAATCTAATTACCGATTGTATTACTTGTTATTATGCAATTGTCGGGGACGAGGGCGCACAAGCGCGCGCGCGCGCATCATCGAGTTTCACTTTTGTCAGCGATACTAATTGGAAAGTCTCTCTATGCGTTTCCTCCCTCCCGCAATCTCGTGTCCTTTATGCGCATTAAATTTCCCGGTTACGAGACTCTCGATGCGCGCTGTCTGGCGTCGAGCGGCCTCTGCGCTTGTTAAAACGCTACTGCGGTTGTAAGTAAAGCGCGAAAGCAATTAGTTCCCATTTGCAATTTGCAGCGTTGTTTGATTTAGCTCGCAGCGCTGCCGCGCGCGCGCAGCGCAATGATGGTGTGCGATCCTTAAGCGCGCGTGCTTAAGCACACAGGTGACACCTGAATTAAATACTCTGGATCGGAGCGCATACGCGTGTGTATGCCGAGCGCCCGCCGCCGCCGCCGTTCGAGCACGTTCGGTGAATTAAGAACCACCAGCGAATGAAACAATTAGAAGACGCTGACACAAGTGCGCAGCGAAGCGCTTTATTCGGTCGAATGTGAGAGTACGCATAACTCACGTCTCTTCTTTCACTTTTATCTTCGTTTGTTCAGTGTGTGCTTAGAAGACGAGGTCATACGGAAATGAAGGTATTTGCGTGTTGTTGAAGAAGTACGTCTCGTTTGCTTGAATTCAATTTCATCGAACAGACGATACGTAATAATAGCACAAAAGTAAAAAGTACTTTATTTTATTTTTCAATTCCAAATTTATTGTTTAATAAATTGTGTTTAAAAACTGTTGTGTTGTAAAACAGTTACTTTGGACGTCGATACAATCGCGCCAAGTAAAATCAATATTTCGATTTGCCTTCGTACGACCGATATCAGCCAAACGATCGCGTTTATCAGCGATAACGTCGAAAGCGATTACATTGATACAATGCGGCCATTTCGCCATCATCTTAGGCCGATCATTTTTCATTATCCCACGTCTATTAATCACGACCCGTTGATTGATTATGAGGCAAAGGGACAGTTTGGCACGGACCTCGCTCCTATAAGTCGGTGATCAAACGCCAATTACGAGGCTTAGATCTTTGTTCTCTTCCTTCCCTTTTCCGCCCTCCTCGTCCCATTAAACGTGATTAGAAACTTCATCTCAAGCGGGTCCAAAAAAAAGCGACTTTTGCGTCATAAAGCATCGCTTATGAGCCGGACGATTTTTCTCGCCCGGGATGATATTCATTACCGTGATTAAAGGGTCAGCGCGGGATAAATTATCTCGCGATTCGCAGTAAATACGAATTTGCGTGGCGATCTCGACGTGAGAGAGAGAAAGAGAGAGAGAAAGCGACCGAGCGAGCGGGAGCAAAAGAGATATATATTATTTGAATACCGACGACGCGCACGTCGTGATATCCCTCTGATTAAAACGTAACGTATAATTTAATGGACCAATTAGTTAAGTGCAATCGCGAGAGTAATTCGCACCTGAATAATCTAAGTGATAAACTCGGCGCGATTGACGGCGCGCGCGCTGTTGGCGACATCGCGCGCGCCGCGACTCGTATTAAACGAATTGACGCTTTGTCGCTCGTTAAATTACTCACCTTTTTTTTTTTAGCGAGCCGCAAAAAATAAATGGATTAATTCGTGCTTCCGGGGTATTGCACAACAGCGGCGCGACTCTAGTCAATCTCGATAGCAAAATGTAAAAAACATTGACAATGTGATCGCGAATGTAGTGACGCGGCAAGGTGTAAACAATAAAAAAGATGCCAAATTGAGAGAGAGGAGAGATCATATGCGCCGAGTCGATACGCGCGAGTCTTGCGTGACTCGGCGCAGTACGGACTAAGAAATAAAGTTGTCTTAATCCGGATTACTTCCGAGTTTTGCGTCATGATCGACCACCATCGGGCGGGTCTTTCTTCGAACTCTTTTTACAACACGCGCCACTTCGTTCCCGCGAGCCCAAAGTTGATTTATCTCCTAGGTCAGAGCCGCTCTCCTTACGAAGAGGCTTCCGTGTCTCGCAAAATCCCCCGAAATAGCTCCCGAAATAAAAACACATCGTTGTGACTCCTATCCCCCGTCGCATAATGGCAGAGATAGGCGGTGTATTACTCTAAAAAAAAAGATAAAAGCGAGAGAGATCAAGGGAGGGAAAAAAGAGAGAGAGAGAGAGAGAGAGAGAGAGAGAGAGAGAGAGAGAGAGAGAGAGAGAGAGAGAGAGAAAAAGAGAGAGAGAGAAAAAAAAAGGCGTGGCAGGTGTGTATATTTTACCCGTTACATTCGCGATAATGATGAGTTTGCTGAACGAGGGGCACTAATGGAACGTCGCTCTCTCGCGCGGAATTTCTCTCTCTCTCGCGCGCGAAATGAAATATTTCACGTTCTCGTTCTTTTTTACAAGCCACTCGCGCCGCGCTGCATAGCCGACGATAAAGATATACACGGACATTTACGGAACGAGGGCATAAAAGGTAGGGTTTAGCGTGGTGGATTTAATATACCCCCCTTTTTCGCGTAGGTAGGTACAACGCGCGCGATGTAGTAGCATGCACGCAGCGCGCTCACGTTGTCTC